TTTTTTGCGATGATGAGTTTTTAATAATTGCAACTTTTCGAATTCGGTCAAAAGATCCTTTTATCATTAACTGGTAATCAACAAAAGGACGTTATTCTAAAATTATAACTGAGAAATTTGACTTATAATTATATAGCATTTATTTAGCAACACATACTGAATATTTTTTAAAGTATATAAGACATGACGGATCTCAAATTGCTGATAATTTGTCTAGCAGACGCTGAACGACATTAAATTTGAAATCATGGTTTAAACAATCACCTTTGCAAAGACAAAACACCGTTCATATACAGTCTAGAATATATAAAAAGTGAATGCGGAAAATGAATCAATACTTCACACGGGCCAAACAAAGCAATTTCTTGAGGGATAAAAATGATTACATTGACGAGTTCCTATTATTATTCGACTCTTCAAACACAATTACGAAATGAATCTTAAAAAATCAAGAGGGTCAATAGACTTCTCGTTCTATCGGAAAGAAAATAGAAATTTCATATTTCATCAATATGTATTGTACTTCAACACACTCCACATCTATTATGTCATATTGAGTGTTTTTGGACAATAAAAAAGTATGATGAAAAGTATTTCAATCCAAGCATGATATGCCCATAATGGTGTGAAACGAAGTACTTTTTAATTGAAATTGGTCAGTGATGCGTGAATAATATGTCGTGAGTGAGGGTGTGGTCATCCATCATGTGAACGACTGAGGTGCGAACTAAACCAGGCAAACTCCATTAAAAATCAAACCACAGTTAGGAAGTCAATGTTAGACGGTATCAGGGCTCAATATTTCCCTGACATATACAATAACACTGTTCATTCACTTTACTGCTCGAAACACAAACGAGTTTATCTGTTTCCTAGATGCGAAAACTTTTAAATCTTTAGACTATTTTGTTTGACGCGAATATTTATATAAAACTTTATATAAAACGAGATTCGATGTTGAAAAATTACATTAATATTACAGTAATAAAAGTATAGATAATAACTCGGAGTTCAATTTTATATTAGCTTAGCAAATACAAACAGAACTTTATACACCATTATGAAATTTCGCACAGAATAAAGTATTTATGATTCGACCCTTCACGTTAGTTTCAATCAGAATATATCATTACAATTAAAAATGTGACATGTTCGCTATATTTCAAGTGAACTGAAGACTAAAACAAGTTACCTATAATGGATATAACTTCCACCGTCAACTTATTTCAGGAAGGGCCGTATATAGTACACAAAGAATATGAAGTAAAGTTACTTGATTACAAGTGATTTATATTTGCTCGATTCTGTGCAGTTTTCCTTCCGTACTGATAAATCGTGTGAGCCTACCGACATATGAAATAAGATATATCCTAGCAACCACACCGTTCGATATTATCTTGAGAAATTTACGACGAGGTGTGATATTTTTCTATGTTATACAAGAAAGTTGGCGCCACAGAAAGCCAATTCGACGTAAACTATAGAAATCATGGCTGTACCCTACACAATTGGATAAAGCCAATATTCATTTTCGCAAAATATACAATAAATTATAGCTTATAATAAACTGCTTATTCAAAATGAATATTTCAATTATTCCTCATAGTTGAGATATGCTTTTCTGAAGAAGTCTGACCTCGGTATGTGTGTGCAGTGTGCAGCAAGACTCCTGAATCAAATAGGATGGTCATCTTCAAACTTGCTATTACAGCATCCTTGCATTATACGCATACGGATCCACTTGCGCAAAGGCACAGAGCAAGGAAAGGTAGTTAGTCACGCATAACCCAACTGATAATTCAAATGAATGTGTAGTTCTCATTTGTCATTTCAATGAACATGATCATATATAGCCAATGTGTTTAGAAGTATTGTACAGAAATCTATTATATTATTTCATACCGAAAAAAAATGGATTAAAAGTGCAAATAATGCCCATTGATTGTCCATGATTTTTGTAAAATGGCTGACCATCTTATTTCTTTTACTAGCCGATGTTTGCGCTACAGCAGTTCAAAATTTTCACAACAAGTAATACATCATATTTTGTGGAATATCTGTCATCCAGTTACAATTTTTACTCGATCAGTCGAACCACAGCTGAATAGCTCGCATTGAATGTACTTGAAATCACTCATTAAGTTAAGCACCGGAACAACATAGTACTTAGAAAGTAAGGCGTCCATGTCGCGAATAAACTAATTAAAGTTTTATCATCTTATGATATAGAATAACTTCGCACAATCAACTTCCGGGTGTCTCCGTCGAAGAAGACCAATTAAATTTTATTTCCCAGATTTTTCAAAATAAACTAGAACTCTATTTTTCCATCGAATCGGAGGCCTAATTTTCCCTCTTCAATTTTTCAAATAAAGTGGAACTCAAATCTTGTCTAATTCCATTAATAATATAAATACGAATTGAAGTAATACCAAAATAAATGGTGATAATAATGAAAGACAGCCTGATTTATAGAATGATAATGACTGAAACTCATTGTGACGTTAAAGCATAAGTTATTATTTTTTGGTGTAATTTGTACTTCGCTAAAATTTAAATCGAAAGAGTAACTTAAAAACATTTGTTGTTAACTTTACCATAAAACATATATATCCAGTTACGAGAGGGTTTGAAAACTTGTTTCAGTTTCATTTCTCATATATTTATGGGTTGATAGTTGAATTGTTCGATTTTTCTCAAATTTCGCTTCAGAAACAAAATTAATATTCTTTATTTACAAACGGTTCGTTTTATTTACATAATTTCTCGAATGAATTGAATCGCAAATGGGATTTTTATTGAACTCCGGAGTGCGAACATATCTTAGAAATTCGATTTATACAATAAAAAATGTGGTCACTCGTCAACAATAGCGCCACGTTCGTAATGGTGTGACTGAACTTTGAAAAACTTCGTTGAACTTTGAAAACACTTACATGCCAGGATATCATTAACAGTAAACAGCAATAATTATATCATAGCATCTGAACAGGGTCAGTGGCCGCCAGAATGTGCGGCAACAATTTCGATGATACTCAAAATAAGACAAAGGCCACACAGATTGTATATCCAAAACAAAGTCTTCAGATATTGTTGATCCTGAACTCTCATAAATATAGTTATCGAGAACACACCGACAATAGAAAATAGTCTGGCGCAGGAATTTAGGGACCAAGATTTCGAAGTATTTTTGACAGCTGCACGACGAGAAGAGCCCATATGTTCTAAAGTTCAGAAGCTAAACTAAAGTATACGGAATGGTATAATATATGAAAATTTGATATTTCGGATCAAAACATAAGAAAACTTACTTCCCTCGGGTAGCGAAATTACGCCAAGTCTGAACGAGAAGTCATTAAGTGTGTTTCCATGGGCAAGTTTACTAGGACGGACTAGGACGCAGTAGGACGCGCATTCCTTATATGGTCAACGATATGACGTCATGGCGCGTCCTAGTCCGTCCTACTTCTCCACCGGGTTTTCGTCCTACTGAGTCCTAGTATTCAAGACGCTTATACGTTATTTTCCGTTATAGCGACTTTCGATGTTTCTCGCATGAATTTTTTGCGGCTTTTCTTCGTGGGGATCCACATGGGTTTAAACTTGTCAGTTGTAAGTAATGGCATTGTAAGATGCGGTACCGTACCTCAACCTTCAAACTCACGATGGCAGATGAAGAATTAGTGTAAACGGTACGGTAGCAGACTAAACATTCAACGGTACCGTATCTCTCGATAACTTTTTATGTAGACTAATGCTTACTTCTCAAGCCTGTATTCTTTTTATTTTGTATCACATATGCCGTATGGACAACCTATTGGACCATTAACTTATTTAATTTTCGTGAATGCTGTGATTGCTTCAACAACTGTTGGATTAGTAGCATATCTTGATATACGGACACCAACAGTATCTACAATTTTTCGTCCAAAACATTGGCAGATTTAATACTAGACAAATACAAGTGAGTGAACAAAATTTATACATACTGACATACCGGTAGCTTACTAGGCTATAACCATTATTCATTTTTTTTATTTGTTTGTATATTTTTCTTTTTACTGAGTAATTTATTTGATTTCAAGTCTGGCTTTTTCAACTTCCAACCTCACCATGTCTTGATTATTGTATGAGTGTGTGTGCTTTATTTATTTTTTATATACTTTTGGGTGAGCGAACACGTACTACTTTTTTTTATCGATACCTTTCCATCTAAAATTTGTACGCTTCAAAACTTACCTACCTAGGTTTTGTTTGCTCTCCCGATTCTTTTTTTTTTTTTTTTATGTATTATTTTATCGTCTACTGCTGATTATGGAGTCGAAATAAAGTTATACTTATACCGTAGCTGGTACCGTATAGCCTATCAAATGAAAATTTTTGCCACAGCTATCTTGTTTTGATTTGAGTTTTGCTTTCTACAGTTCTAAATGGATTTTGTTTTTATATTTGACTGTGCATATTTTATATAGATTTTGTTCACTACTTGTTTGTAAAAAGCCAATGTTATTATTTGTTTTGCATATTTCTGTTTTATTGTTCTCAAGTCAAACTTGTAAATGTGTTTGTAACTGACTGTTGTATGTGTCATCCACTGATTGATGTTTGATATGTCTGCAATGTTTTATATAGATTTTGATTTTTCAACTATTTTGTGTATCTTTATTTTGTAAAAAGCCACTGTTAATATGTTATTATTTTGTTTTGCATATTTCTGTTTTATTGTCCTCCCCGTCGAACTTTCAAATGTTTTTGTTAACTGACTGTTGTATGTGTTCAGTTTATCCCTATGTCTGTCTAATTTATTTTTCCCATGTATATATGTATTTTGTTGTTGCGCATCCAATCATGTTTCTGTGTTATTGTGCTTCTATGTCTAGTTTATTTTTTCATGTTTTGTGTGTCAAATATATACATTTTGCAATAAGAAAAATTGCTTCCTCATTAAACCAGTTGTGTACAGATTGGCAGGGCAAAGTTAGATGGTATGATAGTTGTCATATTGAGGAAAGGGAATTGATTTTTATTTAGAATGTTCAGTTGGTCACCAGAAGCGACATTTGACTTGATCGATGCTGCTAAGCAGGTTAAGCTGGTTGAGAAAAGCGACAGCACTGCGGTTAGAAATGTTGTTGTGATGAAGGAGGTGGCGAGAATGCTAGTGGAGAAGGGATATCGCGATATGGACGTGTAAGTTTGCCACGAAATATAAAAATGTTAGCCTGGTTTATATTAGGAGTGAATTTTCCACACTCGCTACAAAAATAAGTGAAGATTTTTTCATGTTGCTTGAATAGTGTTACTGTGAAGAACAAGTGGAAGCGATTAAAGGCAAAATATAATCATATCAGAACAAAAACGTCACAATCTGGAGAAAGTTCTAGGTCTGCGTTGAATTGGCCATATTTTAGGGCCATGCATGAGCTTCTTGGCTCCAGACCAAGAGTGCAGGTGAGTGGTTAAATAATTTTGAAGCTAGCAAGTTTTGTAATTTTATGATTTTCATGTTTTACACTGTTTTATTATTTGCTTCTACTCAATTTTTTTATCGCCGTGATTGATATTTGAATAATCATTTATTTATATTTTCAGGCCTTGGCCTCCATGATTGGTGTTGATACCAGCGAGCCGTCAATCATGCGAGACCATAGTTTCGACGAAACCATCGCTCAGTTTGTGGCTGAAATAGAGGGTCAGTACAGGATCTTATGCAATGAAATTGGTGGAAGGGTTGGTGGCATCATCAAACACTTTTTTAACTTAATACATTATTTTTAGTTGACAATCCAGATAGCAGTCTCCTGCAAGAAGAGTCGGAGGGCGAGTTGCAACAGGACCTGCCGCAAGGTTTGTCGAAGAGTCGTTTATAATTTTTTATGTTTATGATTAGCGTATCCAAACCAAATTATGGTTTGTTGCAATGTATTTATAAATTGTTTTAATATGCTTCATCTTCAGTTTTTTTATGTATTTATTATTATTAAAAATCACTTTTTATACACAGTTAACCTTTTTTAGTTGCAATAATTTAAAATACTTTTTATCATATATAAAAATTGATCAAATTGAGGCCTTTCATTCCGAAGTTTACATTTATAGATATGTATCTTGCACTTAGTAAAACACAGTTTATACCTTGGTTTTTACATGATAAAATTTTTAAATACGATTGCATGTCATTATAAAGATCAGAAAAGCTATAATAATGAAAAAAAGTTGGAAACATTACAATTTGCTGTTTAGAATCACAGATGTCTTCAATAAAATGGAATTTTTTCTAATCCAATGCTTTATCTTTAGTTGATGAAAGTGTCAGCCATGCTCCACCAACTTCAAGCCAGCGAGGCAGGAGGAGACAGAGTAGTAGAGAAAATTATGGTTAGTGCAACCTAGATATATAAGAATTACTAGCTGATGGCTCATCATAGCTGTTACTGATGTTCTATTTTATAACTTTCAGATTCCAGAACTGAAGCTCTGTTGAGAGTATTTAGGGAAGAATCTGAAAAGGATAGGCTTGCCTTTGCATCAGCTTTGGAGAATTTGACAAATAAAATATTGGAGAAACTGTAATAATTATGAATTATTTATTCAACTATAACAAGGAAAAATTGAACAGAAATTAACAAATGAACAAAATTTAAAAAAAATAACAAATTAGTCACACACGTCCATAGAGTTCAAAAAGGTAGTCGGCAATGACCCCTTGGGCGTTATTATTAGCCCCTTCATTTCGGATGCCAATAGTTGGGTTGTGGCTCTTCATTTAAGGGCTTCCTTGGCACTGGGGCTTGTTCTGTTTCGCAGATATTGTGCATTATGCAACACGCTGCAATGATCTTTGGTGCCTCAGCGACTCTAACATCCAGCCGACGAAGGATTCGCCACCTGGCTTTCAGCCGGCCAAAACAGTTTTCGACTGTTACGCGCACCTGCAGAAATAGCTCATGCTTAGTTTGTTATAACGAGTGTGTTTGAACACATAAAAGTGCCTGTTTACCTTGCTATGGTGCTCATTATATCTCTCTTGCCTGGGCGTGAGAGAAGACCCAGTGTATGGGCGTAACAGCCATGGTAAAGAGGGATACGCGCTATCACCCACGATGCATAAGGGCACTGGATATCCATTAATGGTGATCTCACCCTGCGCCAGAATACAATATTTAGTAGTAATCAACATAATTTTAGAGTCTGGAATGCTCAAGCTTTCTTACCGAAGGGAGCATTTCAGCATTCTTATATAGTCCAGAAGCCCTCAAGACTGTGGCATCATGAACACTGCCCGGCATCTTTATACTGATGTCTCTGAATCTGAGATTTAACACTAACAAATAACACTACAGAATGATATCAAAATTTTATCTTTTATTGCACAGACATGAACAAAAAACAACACAACAAATATGACATTGATTGCACATACAAAAGAAGACAGTAAATGGACATAAGACATAAAATGTGATTGACTTGAACAAACAAAAGTCTTAGTGCCAACACAAAAACTGTGGTGTAGTCGCATTGATGGCAGAATGATATCAAAATTTTAGCTTTTATTGCACGGACATGAACAAAAAACAACACAACAAATATGACATTGATTGCACATACAAAAGAAGACAGTAAATGGACATAAGACATAAAATGTGATTAACTTGAACAAACAAAAGTCTTAGTGCCAACACAAAAACTGTGGTGTAGTCGCACTTTATAATTTGCACATTCAACACATAACAGAAAAACCCGAAAAGTAATAGAAAAACCAAAATGTAATGAAATAAATCAATTGTACACTAGCAAAAACTTAAAAAATGGACTAACCTGTAGTGATTGTCAGCTACAGCCTGTAGGACTATAGATGGGTACATCTTTCGATTCACATAATCTCTAAACCCAGATCTTGGTGGTTTTACATGAATGTGGCTCCCATCTATAGCCCCGAAACATTGTGGAAACCCAGTTAGTTGCTGATTGGCTGCTGCGATTGTTTTTGCTTCAGCAGCGGTTGGCAGAAAAATGAATTTCTTTTGGTGCTTGATCAGACATTCACAAAATCTACTCAGATATGGATAAATGAGAATACAAGCAATCATGAGAGTGAAACTTCAACTATTGGTGAAATATACATACCTGTGCAAATACCTGTGAACAGATGTTCGATGTACCCCAAACATGTTACCTGTGGTTCTGAATTCTGCGGTTGATGCCAATTGGTATATTGCAATTGCTATTCGTTTGTCTAGTGAGAGTGGCGTACGAACACACCTTTCGTCTACATAAAAAGAATGCACAAAATTAGTAAACATATTGAAGGAGCCTGAAACTTTATGCAACTGTAATTTATGTCTTCAACGTTATGTAGTTTGCATTGCTAAACATAAGATAATATCATTAAATAAATCATTTACCCGGCTCTAAATCGTCACGCATTAACGTTGTTAACTTGGAAAATGTTTCTCTTCTGATTCTAAAATTGGACAACCATTCTTGTTCACCGAAATTTTTTAATGCATTTAGCCACCAATCATCTGGCCTGAAAAGCATATTGTCAAAATTTTAGCTCATATGTTACTGCTGTTATTGTACAAATAAGTATAATAAATAAGTGTAAGTTTATTTCGACTCCATAATCAGCATAACAATAAATTGATTGGTAAAAGAATAAATAAAAACTATTTATGAAATCAGGAGAGCAAACAAAACCTTAGAAAAGGTTAAAACGTACAGAATGTATACAAGATGGAAGGTTTTGCCAAGACGAAGTGGTACGTGTTCACTCACCTAAAATAATGGAAATATTTCACACACGCTCACAACCAAACAGAGGTTATAAATTACATATGGGTAGTTAAAAAAATTAATGAAAATTACTTGCCACACCATATTATTAAATTTACAACTTTTGCCACTGCCGAATTGATCGATTTTGTAAATGGGAGTGAACAATAGAGATAAACTTTTATTAAAAATATATTGCCATGCTGATTACAGTTAGAGGCTAATAATAGCTAGAGGCTATTACTGCAAAATTATAGTCCAGATTGTAATAAGTATTTAAAGGTACAAGTACCGTAACAGTATAACTAATTAAGGTAGGATGACGGGAAATAGGAATATGTTGGTTACCAAGGTTATAAGTAAGGTTGTTTTTTCAATCTTAGATATTGACTTCTGCAAGGACAAAGGAATTAGGATTGTTATTTCACAGGATCATTCCTTCATTTACTTAATGTAACGCAATTGATATCAATTCAAATTTATCATAGATGAGAAATCAGGCTGCCAATTTTGATGACGTAGATCTGATATTTAGAGTCATGAAATCACTTAGTTTAAGACTATCATTGAATTTGAGGTCACTGACATCACTAGAGCAAATATATACTGCAGTACGGTACTGATACGAGTTGTTGTCAGTACACACTAAATTTATGCTCCATATAGGCTAATATATTACCCACGGTGCCATTATAATTTAAAAAACTTACTGTAGTTTGTTTTGTACATGCCTATATATAGAATAAAAGAATTACCGGTACTCCATCCATATTTTTCTCGGAATTCTTTCAGCTCCCCACTGAGTTAACGCCAGCAACGTCCTAGACCGCCTTATTCTTCTGGTGTGCAACCATAAGACCAGCGCCTGCACCGCGAAAAAAAACGCTAATAAAGTCTTCGCCCTGTCCATATTCAATTTAATACTATGATAATGATACCGAAGAGAGAAACCTAAAGACAAACTCGGGTAACAGTAACAGCTTTATACGAATTGGGGAAATCCCAACAACAAAATATTTACAGCGGAGATCACTCAGGCTGAAAGAAGATGACACAAATCAACCCATCCAAGCGTGTAGTTTTACCCACAATGCAACTCATTTCCGAGATCACGATTACATGGAAACAGGTCGCGATTTCGTGTCCTAGTCCGCCCTAGTAATCCCGCCCGACTGCGTCCTAGTCCGTCCTAGTAAACTTGCCCATGGAAACACACTTATTGAGGCACAGTACATGGACAATGGGATCAAAAAAGCGATAAATTTGGTTGACCACATGCACAGTTACAGGCAATAATAATAGCCCCATTCCAAAAACCATATATCATTTCTGGGGCCGGATGCAACGTGATTACATAAGATATACTCAGTTATTGGTGTATGTCATGAGGCTATAAAGTGACCATTTATCATGTCACGTTGACCAAAGACGGACGAAAGACATTGACTTTTAAACCCCTAGTACATGTCCCATACCAAAAATTGTTCTTTGACACAGTCAATAGAAAATGCAGAATTTAGAATTGAAACATTCCAATATTGGAAAGTTATATATTATGATTAATTACAAGTTCTAAGAAGCACTGATATATTTGATATTGAATCTTCACCGGCTGATCCCGGTAACTCAGTATCACACGTGATCAAAGAGTCAATATCTCAGCAGACCGCTGTACGACACAAACTGGTCAAACATTTGTGTTTGGCTTGCTAGTGTAGCGAAACAAAAAATTATTGAGTCTTCGTAGTTCGAAGTGAAAACCCTATGGAATGATAACATCTATCATGGCTAGATTCGAGTGGTTTACTGTCTGGTTGTCTTACTTCAACAAAAACCCACAGTTTATAGAAGAGTCGTAAAAAGTCAATAAACGCGTAATATGAGAACAAAATTGAAGTCAAGGATTGAAACACAACGATATGATAAACCTATATACAAGCTCAGAAGAATCTACTCTATTCGGATGGAAATGCAGCAAAATTATGATGAATGGAATAATGTAAAAATGTAGATAAATAGTTTAAAATTATTTCCAAATTATTGTCAGAAGCATATAACGGATATAAATATAGCAAAAACTGTTCCTTTGTTTGTTTGGAAATGAGGTGAAGACGTCGAAACGACTGGAACAGCCTGTTTCATAAAATCATGCCTATGGCCTAAAGCAGGGTGGTCCAAGATTGGCAGCTCCGCGGGCCACAAAATTACTTTTGCATTGTTCGCGGGCCACAATAGTGCCAAGAACTTCGCTCGTTTAACTTCGCTAGTTGCCTCAGCAAGCCATAACACTAGTCATTTCAGTGACATTAGTGATGCAACAACATGTCAAAAGATTTTTTGGTGAATTTATGACGCAACAACACAAAATGCGATTTTTTGATTCCTCGCCGAATTCGACGCGGGCCACAGATAATGAAGCGGCGGACCACATGTGGCCCACGGGCCTGGGTTTGAACCACCCTGGGGCCCTAAGGCAAACTGATGGGGGCCAGAATTGAATCAGAATGCATGTACATGTACTGAATGACCGGTATAATTTTATACAAATTCCTCTCTGTCAACAAACCTGCCAAACACGCCATATTATACATTAGAAATTAGGGAATTAAAAATGAAATAAAACATGAAATTTCAACGATATTTCTACATAGAAACAAAAAGGTATTGAGTGTTCTGCATATTGTAAGCCATAGTTCAACATCAAAGCATTAAACTTCAAAGCGACAAGAACTATCATAGGATTACCACCTGACTGACACTAAGAATTTACGGGTCAAGTCAAAAACCCTCCATTTTTTAACACAGAAAAACAAGCAAAAGTCAGTCTTTAAAAAAGCAAGATTTAGGTTCATGGATAAAAATCGCATGCATAACTCTTACAAATCAAGTAGATATATATTGGATGAATATTTAGTCGCGTAACGATTCAAACCTAAAGTTTTGGTAGGGGGGAATTAATAACAAGCGAAGTTTTATTAGAAAACTTCATTATCAACAAGGCAGTTCAATTTTAGGGACGAATATGAACGTGTTTGCAATTTGTTATGGTTTTAACCGCGGTGTCATTTTACGCAAAACAAGCAAAAATCAGATACTCGACACTCTGTTCGAATACAAAATATGTAATATATTAGGCTGAATTCCGTAACGAAAATTTAAATTACGGGGAACTGTTGTTGGTTCAGGGATTGACACGTTTTGTAGCAATGCGCTAATATAGATGAACTGGCGAAGTAAGGGCAGAAATATAGTTTCTAACGATCAAAGAGATTCGAATCTAACTCTAAATTTTTGACAGCATTTACAGTAATGAAAACTACGTTTTGGATAAAAAAAACAAGAACAATTAACAACTAATATAAAAAATATGTCACATGTTAAACACCGAGACGAGACATGACTTAATAAATTAATTTAGGTAAAAATATAAGAAACATTAGATGAACTCGCAGTTTCAACTTTACATATATTTATTAGGTTCATCGTACGTCATATGACATTAGGTTAGAGTCAGGCACTAAGGCTTGGCCCATCAACTGAACGTTATTACTGTACACATAAATACAAAAACCGACAATAAAAAGCCATTTGTTGAAAGATGGGGTGATGCCCAAAATCTTACAGCGCTGCCATTTTCAACTTGTTACAATACAAGTATGAATATGTAGAAAAATATGTTCATCTAACAAGGATTTGCCAGTAATTAGGGTTGCATTGATAACCAACCGATTAAGCTCTGCTAAGTATAGGTTGTGGGAGAGAGACCCGTATGTGTCTCGCTACATGAAAAACGAATCAATGACGTTGAAAATAAATAGCACCATCGTGAAATGTTATTAAAGGTACTCCAATGTTTCTCCAAGTTCTACTAGATAAACTATTATGAATGACGCAAAGGCAATAATGCGGTGTATTGGCAAACATACTAAAATAAACCACTTAAAAATAATAGACCAAAGCTCATCATTGGATCGAATGACAAAAAGAAATTGTACGACAACGGTTTATAACCTGAAAGAATTTCTAAAATATTGTTTTGAGAATTACTCCATTCGCTGTTATTTAAGTGCGATATGACAGTCGTTCTCACGAGTTGACGACCGGTAAAAAGGGCAAGTCCTGGTTAGGTAACTCACCGCGAGATAAAATTCCGAAATCGGTCATTTAGAGTTTGTGTGTGAAATGCATTTGATCATAGAATTAGAAATTCTTTATATATATCTGACATTTAACATCGTTTAATCAACTAAAAAGTCTTGAAATGTACAAGCCAGTTGCACACATTTAATTTCTTACTTCAAGCTGCAAAATTCGTATCTCATCAAACAACCAGAGCTGACGAAATACATCTACACAAGATGCCAAAAGATCAAGAGTCGTTGACTTGGGTACAGCGAGTAAAATTATGATTTCCGCATATTTTGGAAGTATTGTTACAAAATGCGGTTGGGCTGCCGAGGTCGACAGGTGCAATAGCTTATATAGTTAACAATGTCGTATATTAGCAAACATTGAAAAATCGCTCACACGGAAATACTTATTAAACACAGTGCCTTTGTTATAGTCAGACAATTGCCCAAACAAAGAGTTGACACATTGTTGGAATGGGCAAATGTACACTAAAAACTTTAAATTGGCAGAATACCTAAACTTGAAATGGCTAATATCCATCGGCGAGGGGCAACCACCGAGAACTAAAATCCAGACGGTTTCCCTGAATAATATATCCGTAAATCCCTATTCCTTTAATAATCAACACAGTATAACTTCTACAAACAGGCCAACTAGCTGCCACTTACCGATTATACTATTCCCAGTGATAAACCCTCAACAGGCCAGCAAACATACATCCAAAAATATCTCACCTGCAAAAGGCATGATCCCTCTTCCATATTTTCTGGTATAGTCTTTCTGTAAGTAGAAGATTGAAATTTTGGAGCCGTGTCGTTTGCATTTCCTATTCTAATTACAACCGTTGTTGATGACGACAAACGTGGAATTCCAAAATCGGTGGCAACAATCGTCAGTCGAGGTTCCGGGTTTAGTTCATGATCCAGATAATCCCTGTCAATTAGATAACAATATTCAATCTATGTCTATAGAGCAACATTTTTTGTCGGTGGGCCATATAACCAACCTCAGACACCTAGCTCGGCCACACAGAGTAGCAAAATAGTCTACTGAACTGCTTCAAATTCAAGAAAGCTGGTGGCTGAGAAGTGCCAGGTAACCACAATTAAGGATTATTGCGTCTCAATATAATGTTGTAAACAAGCGTTATGGAAGCCTCCAGCAACGAATTACATTAGAGATAACCAGAGCGGCGCGGGAAAGGCTGGAGAGGAGAATGCGGCTATCACTCAGCCTTACAGCGACGCAGCGACAAGAGCATAAAAACATGTATTTTTACCCACGTGAGCGCCTTTTTAAACAGAAACTGGCGGATTAGGATTTTATGCTTGATGGGGAAAAATCTGAGTGCTGACAAGAGTCACACTAAATGGCTTGGAGGGTCGGGTTGTGGCCCGCGGGCTACCAGTGCACACTCCTGCTAAAAACAATAGACAATTGCTAATATTCAATGAATTGAGGTACTATTAACTGCAAGAGGAATTCAGTGATTTATGCACATTTTGATGAAACAAATAAGTGGTATATCTTATGTTTAATTCAGCGCCTCGGGTTTGATACAAATTTAGGAATTCCCGCATTCAGACGCCTACATGTAGTAGCTATATGTTTTTCGTCCTAAACAAAACATCGCAGCCACAGACCCGTAAAATTACAAGGCAAAATCGTGACAAATTCTTTATAATATAGTAAGACACCCACTTGATGCTAAAATAGTAGAAAAATTATCATGATTCACAGAAATATAACCTTTAAGGGTGCAGGTATGAAGTATTTTTAAGACGAGGTTTATTCAGTTTATGCTTTACATATAAGGAAATGGAATATCACAATTCGAGATATAAATAGTTCGCTATGTGTGAAAAGAGAAGCTGATTCGTCTATTTCCAAACAGTGAGAATTACGAATTTTGCTCTGTAGCTTCACCTTTATTTCAATCTTAAATTTATGACAATGTTAACAGTATTATTGACCAAGTACAATAGTTTAATACGAAAACTACATGTTCCGGTGCCATATTCACAAAGAGTGTTGGACGAGTGATAAAAACACAAGAAACAATGGCTGACTGATATTCTATTGGAACACGTTATTAAGAATTTGCGACAAAAGAAATACCTGTGAGGTAATGTTACTTGATAAGTGAATTCGACAAGAGGGAGAAACTATCTAGCGATAATGTTACATCAATACCCAAAATGGTGTTTTATTACGCATATAGTTTGAGAAATTGTAATACATGTATTGGGATCGGAACTAAACTAGAAAACAAATGAAGGCGTCATACGAAATACAAAAAATAATAGTAAGCAGTTGTCATGTTAAAATATTCCTGTGGACTTCATAAGCCAAATTCGAATTCAAGACAAAAAAAAAAAAAATTGCATAATATTGGGTGAGTTACACTAAACATTATTGCGAGGCGACCCAGCACACAAGTCATTCAACGTTTACTTTTGTCGCTGTTCGCACGGGCATAAAGTTTCATATTTTGAGTCGAAACACGTTTTCCATATCAACAAGTTTACACGCCCACAATGATAATATATTTTTGTGATTCAGAAAACAAAATTTGTTTATATGAAACACACATCTCATTCTTCGCCTATTCTAAAAACCACGCAAAAATGCTTTCATATTGGCGATAAAGATATAAAGTTTAATAATAACGAATCACGTGGGCCTATTAAAGATTGGAGATGTAAAAACCAAGTGACATATATAACTCACAACAGTCCAATGCATTGAGCTTTCAACTCACGAAAATATATAAAATATAAAGTTTTGTTGAATAAGACAGCACCTTCCAACTATACAGAATCATATGATGGTCATTAATATAGTTTTTTTTATAAAACATAAATAATGCCCAAAAGTAATATAGAATATTGGCAATAACGATAATCTATAGCTATCATTTAATTATGTAATATGATAAAGTCGGTATAGTGCGCGGCTCTTCATCACAAAAAGACAGCCGACGGCAGTCAAACTCTCAATTTCTATGTTAACCCTTATTTACTTAGAAACGATTTTCAACATACTACTGCCATGTGATGTCCAAAAAATATGAAAATAATACCAGTTTATAATTTTAATATATGGTCACTGACAGCACAAATTAAGTTTTCAATCATTTTCAAATTAAAAATAAACCCAAGCGACGGTAACGGGTTAACTTTCCCTTTTTGTTAGCGGTGTACGCGAAGTCATTCGTACGTTACCGTACTTCAATTCAATATTTGGACATCGTGATGTATTGTCCTTATGTTAACTAACCGAGGTATAGGAGATCTCACACATATGCTTTGTATAATGTATACCATGCTGAGTTGATCCCGATGACAGAAAACGGGGTAGATAAATGAGGTGCTAGATGGCTAAAACAACGACACAATAACAATTTCAAAACCCAACCCTAATAGGAATTGATTTAGAACATTCGCATAAAACAGTTTCTCATTTTATTTTAAATCTAGTCTGAAATAATTAAATCATTCTAATGTATGTATAATAATCAAACTGTTTTTTTACTTTTACATTTTTGCTTTTCTTATGATCATCGATTCCAGTGTCACCATAGGAGTCTAATTTAGTACACTAATATAAAAAAACGGTTCCATTACATTTGAACCCACGTACATTTGAACCCATGACAATTGCACCTGTATGCTATTGCACCTATGGAATTTTTTTTGTTTCACGGATAGTTAAACCCATACTAACCCTAACCCATGGGTTTTAGCACCCGCATATAGATTGAACCCGTGGATATACGCATGGGTTCAAATGTACATGGGTTCAAATGTACGGTCACCATAAAAAACATCATGCTTGAAAAAAGCATTATACGTCAGTTGAGCTCGCCAGCAAATAAGGATCCTTGAAAACCAAAATCAAAAACGTACTTTTCATACGCAGAAGGGAGAAATTAGGATGTTCAAAATAGTCGAAATAAGGAATATATCGAAGGAAACCACTGGCTTATAAATACAAGGCTGATACTCACGATGTCGTGATAAGTCCACTTTCCCTGTGAAGATCAAACCAATTGCTTTGATCTGATTCCAATAAACTGTATTCAAACTTTTTATTAATTCCTAAATCCAAATCGGTAGCAGCAAGATGGATGACAAAGGTCCCTGAAAAAAAACAAAATGGAAACGGTGGTTTGATAATTCAGAATATCTAGAATTTGTATCCATGAACGGTGCATTATAAAACTGATTTGAACTAAAATCAAGCAGTTCTAGTAATACATATTTACTCACCAGGAAAACTCTCTTCACTGATGTCGACGACATAAGTATTTTGATCGAATCGTGGTGGGTTGTCGTTTATATCTTCTACTTCTATTGTGAAGGACGCGGATGCAGATTTAGGTGGACTGAAAAGGAATTAAGTTAAGAGTATTGTCCAAACTAAGAACGCTATACATGGGCCTTAAGATCCCAGTTGCCATCTTTCTATATATAAATCCCACCTTCCAAAATCGGTCGCATTGAGCAGAATATCATAAAAAGCTTTTTCTTCTCTGTCTAGTCGTTCTTCAACACGCACCAAGTATACAACGCCATTGTCCGTTTTTAATCCAAATCTGGTAAAAAAAATTAAAAAATACAGGTTATTTGAAGACAATTGCATATTGAGCTGCCAAGCATAGAACTTCTGGTAAATTAAAACAGAAAGAAAAATCAAGATGCAGTTGAAAAGCAAGATCTATATGGACAACAAAGGCGTATAACACACTCAAAGCAACGTGCGTGGAAATGCAAAATAAATAAAATAACATATACCTTCCCTCTCCCCCTGTCATGGTAACATTGAATTTTTCTACGTCTCCAACATCAGGATCGGAAACCGATATTCGAGCAATATAATCGCCAATTTCAGCGCCTTCCGACACCTAAGGATAGAAGATTATAAGCCTCGCTTTTTGCTATTACGGGTATAAAACCTAGACAACAAGGGCTACATGATAATTGATGCAGAAATCATGAGAAACTAAGTGCCATAAAGGATCAATTTTCGGGAGCCGATTTTTTATGTTGTTGGAAAATGCATTAGGATTAGGAATATAAAGCTTGGTACTCCCGTAGTGTGTGTATCAGGTTAGAGTTTTTTAGTTCTATCACGAGTTAAGGGAATTTCCGTGTTAGCCAAGTGAATATACCCCCTACCAATAGGTTTCAGTCCCTTTATACAACTTGATGTAAAGTAGGCGAACAAAGTTAGTTACCTCCATACTGGTAAACACGCTTCTGGAGCGCCGAAAGTTTTGCCACAAGGTTCAATCAAACTGTTCTCAATTCAAACATTTTATTCTAAAGAATAGTTCACGTTATTCTGTGCGAACGGCGATTCACAGTATTCCAAAATTTTATAAAATATACTAACTTTCCCATCGTTTGATCCCAGGAAAATAATGTTGATTGTAGGTTGGTTATCATTGACATCTTCTACGTAAATAATAACCAATGTTGAACCGACTTGAGCCTGAGAATAAAACAACAAAGTCAACGGAGTATAATGGAAAAAGAATTTTTCGAAACTGCCAATTTACTAGACGAAATTTCTTAAATTTGACAACAGACAGGGGACACAACACAATGAATGAATGTATAGCTCTATGGGAATGTACTGAATAAATTGACTCATCATTATACTATGTTAGAAATAAAATTCATATTTGAAAAACGAGGCCTTCCGACCGACAGATTAGTCTCAGAGTTAAAATGGCCACTGAAGAAGCGCTATTTTATGAAATCATGCAAGTAGGTACGCTAATTTTTTGAAGAACCACACGGAAATATACATTCTTAGAACAGTTTCTACATTATTGATACAAAAATATGTGTTATACCACAATCTGTTGTCTATTACAAACGATTTCGGTGCCATCATGTCATTGAATCGCGCTGGAACAATAATGTTTATAAATTCTCGACGCACAACTTGAGTTTCGAATGTCAAACTTATCGCAAAGTTATGGGCGTTTATGTTTATGGTGATTTAAATTGTTTCAGGTACGAATGAAACAATACGATATGTTTATGAATAAAATTTGGCCGAGAGAGAAGCCAATTAATTTTGGGTTTTACAGCCTATATGTGGTAATTTATTTTGGATGAATTTAAAAAAATAAATCATCGGTAACCCTTTGGTAATTGTGTGTCTTGAATCAATGAATTGTGCGCAATTCAGCTTGATAAAATGTGTCTTCTCCAAACTCGGAAAACAAGATACAAGTTTATCAAAAAAGAAATTCTCACCTGTGCTCCCCCATCTGTTGCAAGCACAGTGAGACGATGCTGAGTTTCTGATTCAGAATCTAATTTTTTATTAATATATATTCTCCCTGTTCCCGGGTTAATCCTGAAAAGTTCGTCGGGATCGCTTTTCTCTCTGTCAATGCTGTATAAAATGAAGAAAAGTCTGTTTCGTTCGTCAAGGGGGCTACACATGGTTATACTAAAAGTATGTTACCTGTATGTGATATCACCGTTCACGCCTGCATCACGGTCCGTCGCTTTCACTGTTATGACGTCACTTCCTACATTATCACCTTCTGAAACCGTCGCATTGTATGTGGATAAAACGAACACGGGAGAGTTGTCATTGCTATCTGAGACCGAGACATTCACAGTAATTCTGCCGGTGTTTGGTTCCGGTGTTCCGCCGTCGTATGCTTCAATTTTTACGATGTGATAGGGTGTAGTTTCTCTGTCTAATTGTTTAATAACCACCAGTTCAGCGAATCTTGTACTTTCATCTTTTAACTCAGTTGTATTAACATCAAAATATTCGCTTGCTTCGACAAGCCGATAACCCTAAATATAAAATAACAATGAAATATATAAATGGAATTTCAAAGTAAGCAAATCTTCAAATCAAGCAATCAAGTCAAGTCAATATGACCAGTGTATTCCAGATAAATTTTCAAATGAATTACAAATGACAAGCCTTCTTTGGTCTCAAATCCATCACAATAAAATTTCAAGATATCATAAATTATAGTCAGATTGGTATAGTAAAATGGGAACAAATCTAACTGACAAATAGTGAAAAGGCTACAGTACAGATAATCCATATACCTGAAATAGACAAAAACACATGGAGAGGTGACTGTATCTAATTCTATCTGATGTCTATTATATTATAATAAAACTAACAACTATCATATTCAGTTTATATCAATTCCAATTGGAATCAAGATAAAAACCTCATCGTCCATCCTATCTATGGCATTAGAATTCATAAGCAACTCACCAGAACATTGAATGGTGGGGCATCTTCATCCAGTGCTGATCCCAGATTAAACTCAGAACCAATCTTAGCAAGTTCTGATATTTCTAATGATATTTTTTCTTGAGCGAATGTAGGTGAATTATCGTTGACATCGAGGATGTTTACAGTGACCTATGGGAAAACAAATTTGTTCCGTAACTTGTACTTGAAAATACTGAATTAACTGTAAAATGGACTGAATGGCCAAATGGATGTACATCCTATAGGAAAATTTCTTCATGAATAAATTTTTTTTTCTGTTCACAAAAAAACAGAATGAAACGAAATTCAAAATCCAACCAATAACAATGAACGATTCACAAAATTTGTACTACAGAATGTAACATACCTTATAAGAAACATCATTCATAGAATCGTAAAGCGTCATGTTATATTGCTCAATATTTTCTCTGTTTAGTTCTGCAATAGTTATGATGGTGCCTGTACCTTCTATTTTGCTCACATCAAATGCATCATTAACTCCTTTGGTCTAAATTTTGAAAGCAACATTATTTGACATTATTAACACAACAGCAATGAGCAAAATTCCATTATCTGGCATACAAGTTAGGAACTGTGATTTCCAAAATGGATTCAGTAAATCTATAACTGGGATTACCAGAAGGATATGTTCAGATAATACTAATTTCAACGGAAGCATCACGAAAGTAAGGGCTGGATTTGAAATAGAGTTTTTTAAGCTGATGTATTCAGTCGTTAATATCTTAATTTATGACATTGGAAAAGAAAAAAATTATATCTTCTGAGATGTCCAAGTAAATCTGATGCAGAATGAGTCGTATTCGAGCACTTAGATTTATACATTAAAAATAAACTTTTAGTAATTATATAGTATCTAATGTCGTATATAATATACACAAATTCAACCCATGTCTTTGATATTATATAATACTATAAATTCACCTTTTCAGCAATAAAATAACTGCTGATTCCTCCGTTTATGATTCCTACTTGAGTCTGTGTAGGTAAATTTTCACTAATATTGAAGGATAAAATGTTTGCTGAAACTTTTGTTGATTGCAGTATATCACAGGCAAAAAGTAACAAAAATAAAATCATTGAAAAGTTAAAATCTCGATATTTGCATATTGATCTTGATGTTAACATTACAGGGTCAAAGTTGACAGGAGATGTCCGCCATCTCCAACGCTTACGATTCATTCTGTCACATTTTTCAAAAATCATTAAGTAAGTCTCTCTCATCCGCATTGAATTATAATACTGTCCCAATCTGATAAATCCAGTGGCCTTGTATCATTTCCGTCCTTTATAAATGTTCATATTCATAGTTTTTAGTTTTTATAATTGTATTTTAATACTGAAAGAAAAGATGGATTATTAACTGCTGTGTCCCATTCTAATTTTCAGTTGAATTCATTTCCTGAAAAATATGAAAGAAAATTCATACTTTGCTGTGATTATTATAATATCCTTGGATTATGGTAATTGAATTTTATCGAACATACCAAAAGGTACCAAATTACAGACATACTCCCTTATTATAAAGGGAAAAATACAGATCATCAGAAGACAAAGCATGGAATCTTTCAACGCATTCCAATTTCAGAATTTAGTCTAGTTCTAGTCAAGCTAATAACCATCAGGGTTGGTGATATTAATGATTGGTTTATTTTCATGTTTGAGCTGCCTATTTCCCTGCTAGTCTATGTCATGTATCACTGCCTGGCTATGTCACAAATGATACGGTACTGTGATAGTGAAATTCCGGCAATGCTGATATCTGAGTCCTTCAAAAAAATTTTATACCATCTATTTAGAGTTTTCAGACAAGCCATAGGAGTTATCAATAAAAACGTCCTACAAATCAAGTAGACTAATAAAAAAAAACTTGTAGGCCTATTGCCAGATAGGTCATCAAACTGCAGTGCAAAATGAAATGCAAATGACAATATCGTCTGCATTTTTCTTTGCTCACTAACTGGCACTAACCAATACAAGTATATTGGTGGCCTGGGGTTGAAACTAAAAAACTACACTTGACTACCCAACTAATATTAAAATCAAAAATTATCAATAGCAGTCTCAATCCAAACATACAGCCTGTACTGGCCGGCAACCAAGATATGGCAAACGGGCTAAAAGCAAATAAAAGCATGACTAGCTTCCCCCGCAACCAAGCAACGTGTTTTGAGTTCTCTCGTCGCCATCTGCCGATTTCAAATTTAAGTTAAAGGGGTGTCGGTTCTCAATGAACGTTTGTATTACTTAAGTTGCCAGTTGAATTTCACAAATACTTGCTTTAATATGCTGTCGTCTCCAGAATGTGTCGAAAAATCCAGTGTCTGCGAAAGAGGTCCGCCATTCCATCAAGCGTTTTGAGCTTCAGAGACCTTGGTCAATGACATGAGATAAGTTCTGGTGAAAAATGCCTTCGAATACTAATTCCAGAAACGTTTGCGGCGATTTGAAATCGATTTTATGTAGACCCCAGCTAATGTCAATCTTTTTGAGAAATATTTCGACACATAAAGCTCAGGATTCTTCGATCTTTGAAATAAGAAATCCCCCCGAGCATTTATGCCCGAATTATCTCTCGTGTAATTTTTTTCGATATTCTTCACTGTGTCGTTTGCTGTTTTGGGTAAATCGGCACGTGCAACAACACGTATTTAATCTTTTTATTATTTTCTACTTTCCTGATTTTCTGTATATATATTTGTTTGTTTTGTCCTGTATTGTTTCTTTGTTTTGCTGTAACGGAAAATCAAAGTAAAACTCAAATTCACTCACTTAGTCTACATTAGAGATTAGACCAACGACTAACATACCGGATTAGACATCAAATACGACGCCATACTGGCTTATCAGAATTTGTGCGTTTCATGTCAGCTGAGGAAACATTATTGTGTCATAGGGGTATTTCGCCGACCTTTGATCCCTGAAAAGTTCATGTTATACGATTGCCAGGTTTTGAATATTTATTTTTGAGGGTATTTTCGCGTTTTGACGCTCACAAACATAGCCTTTTTACCATCATTTTGATGCAAAATATTTAACGACCTGGAATTCAAAAGTACTGATAGCTAATTTTTTCATGCTAGTCTGCCGCACCTTCTAGTGAACTAAATTTTGAATATTGCAACTAAACTAAAACTTTTCAGAATACAAAATGACCACTGAGTTATTTGAATGTAACTAATTCAGAAAAAACAATTAAAAAGCGAGAAATAGCACGCAAACCCACGAAATCGTACCAACGTTCACAAGCAACCATGCTGTAATACGTTTACAGCGTTACAATTATGCTGTTCAACCCGTCGAAGTAAATAAAGGTGTCCGAGTATCTGCATTTCACTGAATTCCGCCGAATTGTGAGCCAAGGTTACATATATAAGTATAATATATGATATCTCGGCCTTGCAGGTTTAGTAGTCCCAATGGAGCAGAATCCCAAATATAACAGCAATATCCCATGTCACATCAGTCAATGGAACGTTTGACGTTTTTTGTTCATTTTCTTTTCAAACTTTTCCTGGGATCGGGACGAGAAAATTAAAGTCAAATTACGGAATTGGAATTTTCGGAATCCCAGCCCCAAGATAGACAAACCAGACAACATTTAGGTGCTTCGCCCAGAATTTTTTTCCGACATTGAAATAGTCACTTTGGTTGACATGTGATGTCGTCTCAAACTGCAAAAAAAAGATTAGCAACCTTTGATAATGATTCATCAAGGACGTGTCTAGAGAGAGTCATTTGGACAGGCGCCACGTTATATGAGTGAGTTTGTTGCTCTGTTTGATGTTAACTAGAAACAAGAGAGCTATGCTCAAATATATGGACACGTAGCGCCACATAATTTTGATGAGGTCATAGAAAAATAAAAGTAATAGCCTTCTGAAAAAAAATTCCATCTTTCACCACTGAAAATTTCAAAGCAATTAGCCCAGTAATCAAATAGAAAAGCGATTACTTCAAAACGTGTCAATGAACAAGAACAACACAACAACAAAACGATCGTTATGTCCACTAAACGTGTCCAATAAACGTGTCCAATAATACAACTTTTTTTTACTCTTACTTGACCTTCAGTTTATTTCTTTATATGTATAGCAACAGAAACTCGTCTCGGACAGCAGAAAAGTTGGACACGACCCTGTATGAGAGGAATGGGTTTTAAGTATGTAAGGCGTGTTAATTGGGCACCACGTTGTAGGCGCAGCAGATCTCAGTTGTGGAGTTCGCGTTACACATGTTCTTCCCGACGTGTTTCATTTAAGTTAATGCTGATATTACGTGTATAGTTGGATCTTTTGTACAAACAACTTACCAGAAAAACAAAATGCTCGAAATAAAATAGAAATAGTAATTATCCATTTATTAGTGTGAGTGAGGGCTAGGAATGCATATGCGCAGGAAATTCGAATTTTCAAATCATTCCCTACCCGAACCCGTACCCTAACTGGATAACTACAACTTGGTTATTTTGCAACGTGACGGGGGTGTTTTTTTTTCAAATCTCACATTTTGCATTTACTGGAGGGACTTTGTGCAAAAGATTCGTATAGTCTTGTGTGACTGATTGTGGTGATGGTGAGTCAGCAAGGGTTGAATGCCCTTTCCCACTAATGTGCTCGTCTAGTCATTGCGCAATTTAGCGCAATAATACAAACATTTCACTCTTATTTGGCCTTTAATCATTATTATGTGTAAGTGTAATACATCTATAATTTTTTTATCCCCCAAATTATTTTTGGAATTAGGTATAAGAGGAATCGTAATCAGAAACTCGACCTGGGCAGCAGAACAATTTGGCACGCTCCAGATCTAGCAGATGCTATGAAACATTTGGGTGTAGGTAGGGTTACCATATTTTTGTGACTTCAAATAGGGACGCCTTGAAAGACAACGACCCCCTAGCTGTGATTTTGTAACTTCACATTTTCCCATTTTACTACAAAGGCCTACATTCCTATATTTGAAGCTGTCTCGGCTGTCTTTATTGACCATATTGTTATCGAAATTTCATGCGCATATTCTCTGTCCAAATATCGGGTTCAGTTTGAAAAATAGGAAGGAATTAACGTTAACGATACCGGTACAAATAATTCGAATTTAGACTAATCAGTATTGGTTTTACATGCGATACGTCTGACATCAATGGGAATCAGCTGGAAACGAAACGAGAACATGTTTGTGTATTATGCTGGAAAAGCGGGACTTTTGGCTGACTTATCGGGACGGCGGGACAAAACGCTGAAAAGCGGGACTTTCCCGCCTAAAGCGGGACGTATGGTAAGCCTAGTGTTCACGCATAGTTCTAGATACAAATTGTGTCCGATGTTTCAAATAGATCCTGTCCCATGAGGCCAGACATATTTGAGTTACCCGTACAAGCTGATTGTTATTATAATTATTATCAAACTATAAATAGTGACCTGACGGTAAACGGTAAGTTCATACGCTGTTCATCTTAGCGAAATTGGTCAGCGAAAAATACACCTTGTGCAATTTTTCTTTTGCTTATCCAGTGAATTTTGGAATTCTTCAAATAATCCAAAGAACAATTGAAAATGTAAAATAATAGCCGATTAAGAGGTCTGATCTAGCGCAGAGCAAGCACATAAGGCACTATGTCTGATGGCAAAGAATTACAATTGACCCGAAATGGAGTACGTTGACCGAACGTCGCCTCGCTCAAGATATATACTTTGTGTAGCGTCATGGTCTTTACTAACCGCGCAAATTAATACATTGTGATGAAACAATGCTCATTGACTAGGTTCGAACATTGCCTTTCCAGCTTTTGAACCCCCTGAAATTGTCCAAATTACACCCCTTTAGGGGCAATGGACCTTTCCCCGAGCATCGACTTCTTTGTTTACTTCGTGACATTGGCCAATCAGCAAGATGCAAAAAAGTGACGTAACAATGCTCCTCTTTTGCTCAGACACTTTTCTCAGACAGATTTTCAACTCTATTCGTTAGTTTTCAGTTGTGTTTCGGAAACTTAGATATAAATCAGATAATTCAATGATAACTCTGTCGTCCTAGGAGTTTTAATTTAATTGCAGTAATATAAAATTAGTGTAGAAATAGTTGTGATAGACTAGGCCAGGGGTGGGCAACCCCTGGCACGCGTGCCAAACTTGGCACGCGAGCTCATTTATTCGGCACGCGAGTGAATCCTCGGAAACGAGATCATCTCCTTCAGAAAAAAAGTTGAAAGACTGTGAATTATTTGATGAAACTAGTTGTTCATTTATTCATTATTGTATGTTAACAATTCGTTCCCTTTCACGACATATGGCTAGAAAAAAATATATTATGTCGTAACAAATGAGTGAGCTCTCGAGAAATTTTGTCGAGAAGAGCGCAGCATTCATTTGGCTGCATTCTTACGTAATATAGTTTGTCTGTGCCACCCTTTTCTTCATTTCTGCTCGATTTATAAAGCTGTACAGCTTATGTTGGTTAGAGTTACTTGCTAACTTACTGTTATAAATTGATTTCAAAATAAATATAAACGATTTGGATCTAGGGAAGGGAATACAAAAGAGCAGAAAATGAGCTATTGCGTGATTGGGATGCCATTCCCGAAAAAAGTTCGTGTCCTAAAAACTTTGCAACTGCATTACTCTCCATGTTTTTATTTACATATGCTTGTGAATCTCTGTTCTCAGTTATTATGAACTTTATTAAGTCTCGTAACAGAAGTAGCTTGAAAGATGAAACCAGTAGTTTGTGTATTTCTTTGAAAGTTACAAAATATAAACCCAATGTAAAATATCAATCATCGGTAATGCAGCAGCAGAAGTCTTACTGATATTTTTTCGAATTGTGAATAGGGATGGCGGAATCGACTCCGGATTCGATTCCAGAATCGTTTCTTTGTGGAATCGATTCCAGTGCATTGGAATCGATACTTAGGGTGGGTTAAAACTTGGATTGCAAACAAGGTATAATGTTTTGTGACAAGTTCTTCACATATACATATGTACAAACTGATATGTTGAGTTGCTACAACGCCGCAAACTTAACTTTATTTCTACAGTGTCCTTCTCTCTCGTTTGCGCGGGTTGAAGGCAAATGCAACATTTGGACCACTTCTGTACATTTTTTCTCATTTATTGCGTTCATTACTCCTATTTACTTGAAGCAGAGGGCCTCAAGAAAAGTAAAAAACTTGTTTCAGTTCGGAGTAGAAAATTTTACACCTCAGAGATGGAACAGTCTGCAGTCCAACAGACCGGAATAGCGGAAGAACTCTTCCATAGAAATGATAGAGCATGTATTGAAAATCTGATCAGTGATGGTATGGGTAACCTTGAAGTGACTGGTGGTGACATTGATGAATTGACCAGGGAGGTAAGGGCTTCAGCTGAGATATCAAAATATTTGAATGGCAGAACTCTTGTCATATCTGCGACCCACGAAGAAATGTTGCAATGGTGGCAACAAAACAAAAAACGTATCCAAACATCGCAGTTGTCATCCAAAAGTACCTCTGTGTCCCAGCAACATCCGCTGCATCAGAAAGAGCATTTGTCTCAAAGGAGCTTTCCGTAACCAAATTCCGATCGAACTTAGAGGAAGACATGTGAACGAATTGAACTGTTAACATGACAGTAATTGTTTGACACAAAGTGGACATTCAAATCGTTTTTATATTATATTTTTGTTAGAATTATTTTTTTTGTTCTTGTTATGAAAAAATATCTTTTATTATTACCTACTGCACCAATTGCAACTATACTCGAAAAGCTATCTTAAATAAACGTGCGGCCCGCGGCTTCACCCAGATACTTGTATCTGGCCCGCCTGTAAAAAAGGTTGCACACCCCTGCTCTAAAAGATTCTTTTTTTTGTGTGTGTGATTTTGTCTACTGCGTCAAATTGAATACCCATACTACTCAGTTTGGGCTTTCGTGTCCATGTATTTGAACATCGCTCACTTAAACTATGTTTTCTCGGTAATCTATATCGAGAATCGGAATCGAAAATTTAGGAATCGGATAAGAATCGAATACTTTTAGGTACTCATACTTAGCATCCTTAATTGTGAATCTGACTGTAGATGTTTAAAAAGTTTGTTATTGCTTATTTTTGCTTTGAAAGTAGAAAAGCATTGTTTTTAATTTTGGTCGGCACGCGGAAGAATTTTGTCGTTAAATTTGGCCGATTTCGAAACGCGAGCCGAAAAAGGTTGCCCACCCCTGGACTAGGCTAAAATTCTTTACCGGTACTTTTCAAAAACAGATTGTTGTATGGCGTATGCAATGAATCATAATGATGGTTTGAAACACATACCCCATGTTACAGGCGCCAACTCGCAAAAGCACTCTTAAAATAGCCCCGAAAATTTTGCAATGGTAAAGTATAGAAAGAGTTTTTCACGGGTCAAAGGTCGGGGAAATGTCCATTATCTCGAGTCTGGGAACCACCAATCTAATGGTTGAAATGGAAGAATCCATGCCTCAACACCAACACTATGAACACCAACATGAGCTTTTTAGCCGGGCTTTTCACACAGTGAATTTATTCATGTGCCCATAGCGCTTTTCTATACTATTTACTGCTGGTACGGGCATTTTGTTCTTTATTATTGGTATATCGCTGTCATCGCGATAACGGTGATAAATACAACAAGGATAGTTTCGCTCTTCATATTTCTGCAACTGTTGCATCCATCTGTGCCAAAAGAGAATATTGGAGAATTTGTTTAAAACGGAACCAATTTACAAAAAAAAAAACAGCACTAATTAATTCAATGTTTTTGTGAGGTTTAATAAATCGTCTATGCTGAAAAACTGCATGCCTAAAGGTCCAATAAAATAAAATAATTAAAAAATATTATACTAACTTAAAGTTACTTTAAATTGGTCAGTTCATTCGAAATAATAATTTACCACTGTCGCATATGCATGTTTCGATGTCTTTTCCAATGGTGCAATTGTTGAATGAAAGCGCTGTGCATGTTCTAGTGACTTCGCCTGAAAAGTTTATTTTATTTCAGCAAAATTTATCAACAAACAATTTAAATATTATACTAATGTTTACAATTGCGAATTATCGTGCTTTACAAAGGCTTCATTATATTGAGTGAAAGAGTCCTAATTGATTTAATGAGCAAATTTTTTGTTAGCGATTCAATTTGAGAGAGTTAATTTTACTGTATATTAGAAGAGTGACAGCTTAGCAATAATTAATGTCAAAAAATACGTGAACTATACCTCGAAAAGTTATTTTTCGACATCCATGAAAAACTCCACCGCAATCCATCAACTTATATTTAGATTTCACTGAATCACCATCGTTGCAAACGCCATATTTATCACAAACAAAGCATTTTATTGTTGAGGCTAAAACAAAATAATGTATTACAAATCTCCTTCCTTGCATTAGACAAATTAATATTCCTTTTGAAAGAAATTAATTAAATTATTTCCCCTTACTAATTTTATTGAAAATCATAATATCTGAAACCATGTCAGAATATCACACGTCATGGCTGCTGAGTCGGGTTTTATTCGACTCCCAAATGCTCCAAGCCTGCAAACAAAAAACGACCTCGATTTGTTTAAAAATTTAAATTTGACTTTGGTTTTGAAAGCACTATTGGCGGCTCTTCAACTATAGAACCTTTCAACCGCTTTGCATTGAGATATCCGATTTTGGCACATAGATAAGAAGATCTTATTGTGATTTTGAACAGTTTAGTAATACAATTGATCAACTTAAGTAATATTACTTTGAAATGAAGTTACGTACCTTTTTCAAAAGTAAAAATTACAGCGATAACAAATAATACGAATTTCATTCAGAATCTGTAACAGACATTAGTGAAACAAATGTTAATGTACAAATTTACCATTGAACGGGTATTTAAAGTTGGACAAATGGCTTCGAAGCTTCAAGTACCTAATCTATAATTTAGAAACTTGCGAACAGTTTGTTTTAGTCATTGCTATACTCTGTGGTACAATGTAATGTGACACCAGAAGGAAGGGAAAGTGAATTCTAATGAGTCTGTCATATTGCATTGAAATATTACAGATATACGAGCTCTAGATGCTGCAGTGACGAAGCGAGTCGAACTGGAATACTATTATTTATCATACAGCATTTATGAAGGGTTGAATAAAAAAAAGTTACTTTGAATAAAGACTAACTTAAACGTTTATTATACGCCCTCGCTAGAAATCATGTAAGTATATGGGCACTTATGCGTAGTCACGTTGTCATACTCTTTTTATCGTATAAAAACAAGGATGAAACCTACAGTGTTTAATTTATTAATTATTTAGACAAAAAGCTATAATATTGTTTTAGGTGATTAAATCAATAAAAATGCAATTAAAAATCTCCTTAGATTCCATCTACCTATTCTGACTGCTTCTTTCCAGCTACGATAACGACTACTTATTGTTCTCATTATAAAGAAACCGAACATTATATATCAAAATTCCTATACTAGGGCAAGCACAGTTGACAATAAATCACGTCTGATATTCGCTATCGCAGGCAATATATGAATAGCAAGAAAATATTATTAGAATTTGATGCCTTTCGCAATGGCGAAACGGTGCAGCGTATAGTGCATGTATTGTTTGAGGTATCGTTTTTCCTGTATGAGTAAGCACAACACACATCTAAATTTTACCGAATTCTCCATATATATGTGAAACATAGTATGCATGAAAGGAAAATGCTTAGCTGGTCAAGATCAGAAGAAGGTCAATTTTTTCTACACATATGGAATCAAAGCATACCTTTCAAAAATTTTAAAAGTTGATAAACTGTTTTAGAACATTTTTGTATATGATTGCCTAAATCTATGTTCAGCGCTTACTTTTCATGCCTTGAATCAGATGAGGTATCAGTATCCGCTGACATGAATTGAGAACTGACAAAAACATTCAAATAGATTCACAGCGGGCCCTTGAATAACTTCTCACTTCTTGTTCCGGGCGAAGGTGTGTAGCACCCCACAGAATGTCACATAATCATTTACGAAAAACTTTGGTATAGTCAGATAGAGTTAAAATTGTACTCGTTACATGAGAAATGAGGCAGAATAGCAAACTATGCGTCTTGGTAAAATTTTGTTTAACAAAGAGTGTATATATTCTATCAGAAATCATCATATATAAATAGAAAAACATAGTAGCCCGTTAATAGTAGTATTTTTGAATATAGAGATAAATTTGAATACATTGTTCATTCTTGCAAGCTCATGCATTCACTTCATTTGAATCTATTCACTGCGGTAAATCTTTCACTTCTATGGTTTGGGGCGTATGAATACCATCGATGAAGGATTGTATAACTATTAATATGGATTCGTCTACTAGGTCCATAGAATCATAATATAAACATCTACTGAACACATAGCGTACATATTATAGATCGTCTGGAAAATTTTTTGTTGTTGGATTTTTTTATTTGGTTGCGTTTTTGTTTGGTTTTTATTTGGTAAAATGACTTTTATCCGCAGCAAATGATCCAATCAGTTTTCAAATAGATATTACTGTTTTTTTTTCAAATTGACACCTATGTAATTCTATGTTTCACAAAAATTTTGCTGTTTAATTTAAATTTATGGGAACCGTTGTTCATTCCGTTATAATAGTTCTGCGCCTTACCAGTTGCCGATACCGCAAGCCATGTCCGTTCGTCAAAGTTTATAGAATTTGGATTTAGACAGACAAATGCAATAAAATGCATGTTGGTAATACGACTGTGTAATCAAAAACTTTGAAATTTCGATTCAAATTGCCAACCCGAATAACTCAGCCGCTTCCTAACATCGGATGAAATTTTAAGTCGGGTTTTCGTGACTAAAATGTGGCATATTTTAATTATTTTCATTCAAGCAAAATATGGTGAGTGGCTAATAAATGTCTCACTGCGTAAATGTTGAGTCGCATGAAACAGATAAATTCACTACTCATTTTCATTTCCCTCAACTTTAACATAACGGTGCGAAATCCGGGAAATATATTAACTATGCACAATGTCGTTACATACGGAAGCAATAGCTTACACTATGACAGCCTTACACGGGCTCATGCAATTATTTTGGAAAACCCATGACGTTCAATGATTCCAATAATTGTGATTCCATTAGTTGACGTAATAATAGAGTTTTCACATTAGCATAAAACTAAAAATTGCAGTCAAAGGCAGGATGCCAATGCAAATCAAGCTATGTTTATTGAAAATATTTTGAATTTTTTATCGTGAAAGATTTGAGTCAATTATTTTTTGGGGCAAGTGTTGGTGGCAACACGGGACGATGGTTCGATAAACGTAAGAGAGGCTCAAAGGCTAAGACTTGACTTTTGCGATGTAATAATGTAGTGCACTTTTGCCAAAGGCTGCCAACTTTATTTCGTACGTTTATCACGCAAGTATATTTGGTAATTATTAAAATGCCCCAATGGTACTTTAGTGTATGATATTTTAACATCGTAAAACAATTCTCGAATTATATTGACTTCCCTCAACTGACGATGACATGCAAAATCCTGATATTAACTGTGCACAATAATGCCGCTGCACAGAGAATCAATTGTGTGCAGCGCTGCAACAGCTCAGGCGATTGCTTCAAAAATCCATGCGATTAAAAAACCTCTTTCCTGTACTTTCGTGATATAACTCATTGGTACACACAAATCAGCTTATGAAATTTCACTTTTACAATGTCCGTGTATACGTTGTAATATATTTTATGCTTTCATATACTTGTATGCGAAACTCTTATTCAATGATGTATTGCCAGGTCTGACTTCCGAATTTACATTGTGAGACTCCGATCAAGCGATGCGATTAAAGATAAATTTATCTTTTTTCCTCGTCCGCTATACGTTCGAGGATGTCTGCGTTTTACTGTTTTATGCTACTATAAATAATCAATCCGTAATCTTGGGTCTTCTAATCTAAAAACTCCAGTACACACAACCCCAAACTGTGATACGGCACATCAAAAAAATGCAAGAATTTTTACGTGATAAGTTGTCTCCGAACTGGTCTGATCGGTTTTAACCAACTACCACTAAGAGCCGTGGGAAAAATTCAACAGCGGTAACAATCAGATAAGCCGTCATTCTATAGCCGTTATAAGACTTTGATAAATCTGAAGCAATGGATTTTTATATGGAGTTAAAACAGCCGTAAGTGATGGCAAGGTTTCTCCAAATAGTCGAAACGAATTGATAGCTTCACATACCACATTTAACTTACAAAATGAAATGCTTGTAATTTTGAAATACCGAGTCTATTTATCTCATTGACTATATAACAAAAACGCCGTTTACCAACCCCCATGATACTAAAAAATGCATTATTTTGCTATTGTTTTAATTTTTTTCGTTGCTATCGTGATTTACTGGACATAAATTGAGAATTATGAGGTGCTTTACATCCTTAGTGTCTTCGACCACTTTCATTTAATAATAAAAAGTTTTTTATATGATTTTCATATATTAGAGCCACTCTAATAATCACAAAAAAACTACAGTAACATGCGTTTGGTTTTCCGACCCATTCAATCCGAAAATACTTTAGTAAAATTAGCTTTACGAAAATAGAGCAGTTAATGTTCCTTAGGATTTTGGCATTTCAATGCCTAAAATTGATTCAGTGTTTATATGTTGGAGAAATCTGGTATTTTTATTAGTGTTTTGAGGTTTTTTTACATTATAGTGTATTTAGGGTAACAATGTTTTGGGAAAACCAAACGCACCTCAACAATTTACAGAAAGAATTTTGCCAAAATGAAGCTGAAGATTGTGGTGACGATGGTGCTTGCCTTCAGCATTCCTGCACCGTTGCATTCATCTGTTGAAGTATGATTAACCAAATTTCAAAATTTATAATAACAAGCAGAAGATAATAATATTGTACATAATAATATATTACTAATAAATAGCTGATAATATTCACTGCCATTTAAACCGCCACGTCCTTGTTTAATTCATGAGATATTTTTTGGCAAGGTTTACCTGAACCACAGTTGCAAGTCTCAGTTTTCACTCCTAGTAGTTCGACCGTGTTGCAGTCAGCAGTTTCAGAGCTCGCGGTGCAAGTTCGTCCCACAACACCTTATTAAATCAATTATTAATTAAATTAACTTCAGTTAAACTACGACTTTATTTAATTAGTAGATAATCTTAGAAATATATATCAAAAGTTAAAATTACGTTATGTTTTTCATTTGTGATGCTGACAGTCTCGCTATACTGAAACTTAAGATTGCGTCCTCAGTCTTTGGATTATCAAGTCAGCATGTTTTCTTTCCGACCGTTTCCTCTATAACTTTGCTTTTAGAGTTTTTAATTTTAGAATTTTATTTTGAAATACCATAATAAATTTATACCTGCTACAGTCACTTTGCCGCATCCACTAAAGCCATCGCCACAATCGATCAAATTATACGGTTCGCTACAATTGGCGCACACGTAACACTTTATAGCCATACCTGAAAATTTAAAACAAAGTTTTTATGGGAAAAATAAAATAATTGTACAGTATTTATTGACAAAAACGAAGATAGTACTGTATTTGCGAACAAGTTAATTCCATACCCACTGAGGCGCAAAGAAGAACCACACAAATAGACAAGGCAATCTTCATTTTTGCGTTTGTTACGAATCCTTTGTTAAGAATTGAAATAAATTTAATATCTGAAAATATGTGCCATTATGATGAGTAACATTGTTTTAGTCAATCATAACAATAAATGATCCGTACAATTGATGATCAGAAATGAAAGCAATGCTTTAAAACTATCGATAATAATAGAAATAATATTGTTTTTGGTCTCATTACTTTCTATTTTAACTACTTTCATCCTGAGTATAATTTATTTCGCACGAAAATATTTCGAACATCAAAAAACAAACTATGTAAAACCTATGTAAAAACCCACCCCAAACTTACAACTTTCTGGTATTTAGAACAACTAAATAAATGATATCAGTTTGAACACAATAAATATTTTGGACTATTTATAAAACATCGATAATGACAACGAAATCATAAATGTATTCCTTTTCACAGACATGAAATCTCAAAAATTTGTTAATTGGTTAAAAAAAGCATTCAATCTTTGAATAAAACTCATAATCAGATATATGTTTATATCGATTGAAAAACCCTAAAAATTGCAAAAGAGAATATATATATCGAAGTAAACCAAATAATTGGTGCATTCACGTAATATTAGAGTTTTAAACCCTCAATCTTTTTCAATCACTCATTTACCCATAAACCCTCAATCTTCCGCTCATCACTCATTTACTTCGAACTTTGCTATATATCTAGTGTTTATACATAACATCTCGTATACATAACGCATTAATCATTCATGTTATAAACATATACTTCTTCCAAAAAATATAGTAGAAATAATAAATAGATTTTAACGCTAAGATATACATCATTTTTAGGAGGAAAATTAAATACATATTGAAAAGACAATTCCATTGCCAATGAAGAGCTCTTGGTGGTTGGTAGTCCCACGCCCTATTGAAGAATTTGGTTGGATTTCGAAACATATAGCTACACTGCTGGGCGTTTTTGGTCATGCTCTCTGCACACACCCGGGATTCCATTTGCCATTTTATTCTCAAATGAACAACGCTTTTTCGGCCCTGTTTACCCACGTTAGCGAATACCGATCTCCAATAGTTATATCTGTTTCTAACGACATGAATGAAACGACATGAAAGAAAATTGAATTATTTTATTTTGCTGACTGATACCAACTCCAAACGCACAATTGAATGTCGCAATACATGTTTACTACAAACTGCACGTCATGAGGAAGGCCTCTTCATTGCTGTAAGAGTCACTGTAAGCGCCTTTGTTAGATGAATGAACGCAATACATAACCTTCATATTTCGCCAGAAGTTTATTGTTTTCACTGAATACGAGTACAACCAATTGTCATGTCCGCCTGAATCCAAGGTCTTTTCGCCTAAACCATATTATTACTATTGCTGCCCGAGGTATACCCATACGATCTCCTTTTGTGGCCGATTTGAAAATTACCTAGGGTGTCAATTATCTCCCAGTACAATAGTCCGGGTTATGGTGACACCCTTATTTAAAATTTACTGGATAAAACATGCTTATCTCAAAGATATTTAATGAATTAACTTGCTGAGGAAACACAATATTGAAGCCTTGTTCATTGAAACCCTTCCTTCTTCCAATTCACCAAGCGCGATATACTCTATTCTCGTGTATTTTCGTTTGACGATAATTAACTTAATATATATTTACTTATTATTGGATGATTACTAATCACACGAGGTATCGATGCCCGAATTTTCCTATGCACCTTTTCTTCAAACCACGCTTGCAATAACCTACAGTTGCATGCCTATCGATACTTCGAAGCGACTGTGTGGTTGAACACCAGATGTCGACTGCATCAGACGATGCTCGGCTATTCTGGCTATTGCTTGGTTAGCCTTGGCAAAGCCTTATTGCCCCCTTTCGAGTGACCCATGACCGACTACTGTATATAGGTTTCCCAACAAGGGAAATTGAAACGAACAAATTCCCGGGGCGTCATATCAACGATCATTGCACAATTAATAATAATAACATGATTCTATAATCTAAGCTAAACTTGCTAATGTTTTCTCTGATCTATTCTAAATATATTTTTTATGCTTTAACCAACCAGTGCGTCGCGAAGCTGTCCAAGGTGGGTCACGACGCATTTCCAAATGTCACATACACTTTTAAGTTAGATCGGGGAATTGTGGCATTATCATTACGTAACAATAACACTTATGAAACAATTTAACAATTAGAATTTTTTGTTGTGTCTCGTCAATAATTTCAGTACGCCTCTATATGTTGGAAAGTGTAGGTAGGCTACTAGGCAGATTAGTAATTCGGTTGAATTCGGGTAGACAGTAGCAAAGACGCTGGTTTATGTAATTGGTTATCTTATGTCCAAAGAGTTACATTTTGAATACTGCGTAAAGCGGGTTTAATATACTTTATTTAAACACTCTAACTTTGTTTGGTGCTTGTAAGGTGGCGTTAGGTGACTTCAGCGGCATTGAATCTTGATTGTTTCCCAAAGACTGTTTTTGATTCTTTAAAAAAAGACAATCGTCCAACTTTGTCCTAGCAAAGAGGGCAAAGGAAAAGTTAGCATTGAAGGAAAGTTTATATTGTACTAACGGCGCTCCAGAAATGCGTGTGCCAATATAGAGGTAACTAATTTTGTTCGCCTATTTTACAGTAAATTGTATAAAGGGACTGAAATCTATGGGCAGGGGGATATTCACTTGACTAACGCAGACATTCTCCTAATTCGTAATATAACTAAACTATACTGAAAATCGGAATAAAATTATTCCTAACCCTAACCTGGTACACATACTTCGGGAGTACCGTGCCAACAGCCTCAACAGAAAAAATTGAAAAATACTATGATTTAGGCATACATGTTGAATATGGTACACATCGAACTCCGTGAATCCAAAGTGTCGTCTCCGCCTTTCGCGGAACGCGGCAGGAAACAGCATATTTGTTATGACGAATTTTTATGTTAAATGAAATAAGTGAGCCCGCAGCTCATTTGAAACTCGCCTTTTTCGAATTTCGAGATGGGACGCTTACGTAAACTTTAGGTGACATTGTGAATTCCAGACCGAAATTTACAACAATCATTCGTGTAACTTAAAAGATATCAACCAGAGTGACGCCTGACATTTCATTTAAACACATTTTATCTATTTCACTTTTGGGCGAGAAAATCGATGCTTGAGAGAAAATCTCTTCGCAACTTAATTGTTTGTCTTTGTCTTTACCAAAATCGGCACTCTTGTGCTAAAAAAAAAACTAAAGAAAAGCTTATGTTTATATTCGGTTTTCCTCGTCCTAGTATTCACACATACCAAAGTATACAATACACACCCATGTGTCGTCTACTGGTATACAGTGGCAGATTTCAATCCACAATGTTGCAAACAACATATTCGTTAATTATGTCACACGCGATGAGTGTATGGCGTAAGTCTTGCGTGATTACTGTATTTAGCAATCACTGTTTGCTAATAATGGCACTCCCTTAAAGGAATTCCGGATCGTTTACTTATTGCGACTACTCTATAGTTTCATTTCAGTTGTTCATAATATTTCGTCGGTAACCAAGCTTAAAAACGCTTATAACGTCTTGGCTCACTTCGGTGAGACAGAGAGGTGGAATGATGTCTTATCATAGTATGTATTTTTTTAATTAGCTCGAATTTCAGAGTAAATTTAGCAACATTTGAGCAACAACAACAATATTATCAAGACTTCATTTGTGATATAAAACGTTAAATATCTACGTCTGCTTATGTCAGACCTTTCAGGAAGTGGCAAATTACAGTGTTAGATTGTCATTTATTGAGATCTATAAAAAATATCATCTCTTTTAAATTATCGACATTTTATGTTGAAATGGGAGATAGTTTAATTGTGTAGTTGTGAGTGCTTGAATCAAACGACTTGTTTTGATCAATCCTGTTTAAAAGTCGTGTTTCGTTCTAGTGAGTTTGAAAAATCAAAACTAAACTTGGATTAGACTTTGGAGTACTAAAATTAAGTAAAATTCTACATGGAGTTAATGGGTATGTTTACTACAATTTAATTATCCAAATGACAAATAATAAATAAACAACTGAAATGCACGGAATATCAAATTAATAATACTTAATATATAGTAATAAGATTGCCAAATTCATCGTTTGGATATGGCCACTGTATAGTTATTTTCGTTATTTTCACCCGATTATCCGTATTGCTCAGTATCGATTTTATTTTAGTGATATCATATAGGAAATGGTTGAGATTGCGCCGATGTTGTCACATAGACAAAATTGAAGTGAAAAATCTGATTAAATATACTGTATTTCCGAATAATGAAATTGAATGTCGTATATTTTTATACTAGGTAATTTCTATACCGCCTTTGTTGCGTTTCTTTTCAAACTTTTGTTTGTTTTCTCATGCGTGCGTCATTACCTACGTAAAATACTTCTACTCTCACGGAATATTGTTTGATTTACGAATTCTACTTTGACCTAGGATATCAAAATGAAGAGTGTACTTGTCTCTTGCATCGTTTTTATGTTATTTGCCGAAGGTAAGTGTCGTGCAAAAAGATATTCATGATGCGTTTCATACTAGGGATTTAATAAGAAAGGTGTTCGTTTCACATTGAATGACTTCACATATGTACGGGAACGGGTATATGTAAAAGACAGATAAACAAAAATAAATTTTCACGATCGTATAAAATACTTTTTTACCTATGAGTTGGATTCAAAACACGATTGGAACATGTCACAAAATTGATATCGTTAAATTCTTTATTTCATTCAAAATCACGGCCAATGGGGAGGCCTTACCTTAATAGAACAAATAAAACATAAGCATTTGGGTATCATTGCTTACGGTTGCATAGGAACAAGACAAATATTTTTACTTGCTTATTGTGCTACTCGTTTGAACACACCTGTCTAAGTACATAAGGTCGCACGGATGTGTTGTTTCTTTATATGGCTAGCCCTCAAGTAAGCGAGACTATAATATAGTTTAAAAGACGTCAAGTATTTACCATGTATCCATTCCAATGTTTTTTAATAATAGCCTGGTATGAAGACGAGACCATATCATGACATGAAATGACCATTCCTAATTGCATATCGTAACTGATTCAGTCGGCTATTAAATCAATCATATGCAAGCCAAGCATTGTCGACGTTGCAAAGGCTTATTTTTAGTGAATGCGAAACCCTGAATGCTGTAAAATGTTCAAAATTTTTATTGATTTTCTGGCAACTAGGTATTGCAATAAGGTGCTACGAATGTTCTGCATGTAACGAGAAAAAAGAACTTGACTCTTCTGATATCGTTGAATGTGAAGAAGAACAAAATGCTTGCACAAGGGTTCATCTCAACGAAAAAAATCAAAGCGGGAATGGTAAAATATTGCTATTTCAATATTTTGGTGGCATTGATGATGATTTTTATAAATGTTTTTTTTTGTGATGGTTATTTATGAATGTTGTTCATGAATTCATGTTTATTATGGACGTTAGTCATCCTCCTCTACTGGTTTCTCTAATGTGTTCTACACATTGAGTGCTGTAATTCGAGGGCGAAAATAAACTATGAAACTGAATAAACATAATGCAACCCTTTCAAGGTAAAATTGTGATAACAAAGTTGATGAATTTCCACCATACAGGCTGTTTAATTTATTTTTAAAATTTTTTTTAAAAATTGTATGTAAACTCTATTAAATTGAACGATAGGTGTTGATTTTAGACCAAATTGTATTGAAAGTTTAGATGATTTACCCCGACTCACCAAAATAATTTGGATTTTATATCTAAGCAATAATGTTTAGACGTCTACAGAAGATCATGTGCGACAGGTTTGAAAGCAGATGTAGAAAGCCTTGAATATACTTGCTCGGCAAGCGACGAAGCAAATATCAAAGAGACTTGCATTTGCTACCATGGTACGTTAATAATCTCAACAAATTTTTAACTGCCAACCGCATTAAAAACTAATCAGGATTGTATTATAAGGAACTTATAATTTGAGTGACATTTTGTCTGTCGCTTACAAAATACATATTGTGGACCGCTACTCATGCTTACATTCAAACTCAGCACTTTTCAGCGGTTGATTTGGCACGTTAATTTACACAGCCTAATTGAAAAACTCGGGAATTCCAGATTCAGAACTTTGAATTCACCAGAAAGGAGTCATCATTTCACTATTGCAAAATTCTACTATGTTGTATTCCGCAAAATTACATCTTTAGTTTTAGTCACTTTTATTCAAATAATCTGTTTGTTATTATGTATTTATAGATTTGTGCAACGATGCCGGGATTCCAAATGCAAAAACCACAGTGATCATTCCACTTGTTTTCATTTCATCAATATTACTCATGCTAATGTAAATAAACAGACAGAAATACTACCAAATGCAATTTAAATCGCCGTGTAAAAATTAGAGATCATCTGACAATTTTTCATAATCCTGTCGCCTGATGAAAAAGCGCCTAACTATCTTTTTTAAAAGCATTATTTTCAATTTATGTTAAATTCTCTGTGTACTCTACAGGCATTTTTTATTAATATGATTTTGCTCTACCATGCCGCAATTTTAATTTTATTTTAATATATTTGATCATTGTTTTTTTGTTAGTATATGAAACACATTATATATACCAAATAAGTATTTAAAATAGAAAAGAAAACCTCGATCGTTCAAATTGTCAGGGATTAGAAGTAGCCATTCTTCCGTTTAATTTAGATTAGACAACAATTGATGTTTATATTTTTTGTATTTTCTATTTTACTCAAAACTAAACTACCACTCAAAACTAAACACTACCAATACGATAAGATGAAGTAATACAACTTTCTCTTGGAATAATTTTAAATTTATTTGCTCAACATAGTTATTTTTAGTTTTATATCGTTTATAGTAGTACTTGGTATTAGTTTAGTTTTATCACTGTGTTAACTAATGATACACATCTGCAATTTAAAGAGTGCTGGATTTGAGATTATTTTCTCATTTGAAATATAAATCAACTCAATAATATTTTCTTGCACATTAGATCTTTGTGCTATACTAATGAATTTTGGGTCAATAGCAAGGTCTCGTTTTATTCACAGGTGCATATTTCATATGATATATTACTCTGATATTATCTAATTCAAAGGAAACATTATGTTGTATATCCTATGATATGTAAAAAATGAAAACACACTATTTTCACTCGAAGTTATAAAGAAGAAATTTATTTGAAATGTTAGGATATGGCGAGAGTATTCAGTACATTGGGAACACTTCAGAGTTTAGAATTCTATTGATTTATTTAGAAAGTATCACACATGAAACTGAAACAGAAAAAATAAATTTGCAGTTTTACCCGTTGAAATAATCGACTGCCATTAGCTTGAATTTTGAATCAAACATTACGTGCTTATGATTAAATATATATATAAAAATCACGTAAATAGCAAAACTCTCCTGTTATCTGACTGAGAAACATGAATAACGTTTAAAATTGAGAAAATTATTCATTGACGTCAATCCAATGCATGATTAGACTCGTGAAATGATTTGTAACAATTTTGATACTTTCGTTTTGTCCAGTAAAAAATATCGAGTAAGCCGGCAGAAAACTTCATTGCCAGCATCATAAAAGTGAGAATTGAACAAAATTACCCAAGTCGTTACGAAACAAAGCAAAGTATCAATAAAGCGGGAGCAGCTAACTTGACAGAAAAGACTTTGAGATTCTTGGTTCCCACAAAAAGTATATTCTTGCAAAAGTGGCCCTGCAAAACACGCAAAGTATAATTATGGTACGCAAAAGACTGCATGTATTTCTATTTTTAATATCAACGAAGGCTACATTTTACTCAATTCGAAATAAATCATCAAGCAAAATTATTTTATATGAAAGCTCGATCGGTGTATTTGATTTTTTGCTCGACTCGATTTTAAATACCTTTTTAATTTTAGCGATGTTTGGTTATGCCTTTAATATCAACTAAAATAATACTTCACGGGGTGCCCCCAAAGTAGTTGCACGAAGATGGCGCACAACTTGAGCATAGTAATAGTACCCTAAGTTAGGGTTGTTCAGGTTGTGAGTCATCTTGGTACGAATACTTCCGGAGCGCCCTGCACAGTATACTAAATTTTGAAGATATCCGGATGCTGTCGCTAGGCGTTGATAATGAGCACAGAGATGCGCGTCGGTGGGGCGACCAGCGATGATAGAAATGAAGGAAATGTTTTAAGCTTAGTTTAGAAATAACTAATGGAAAATGAATATAAAACAAATATAACAACCTAAGTTATGTTTTTGGAGTCGGTAAAAATTATCATTTATTGCTAGAATAGCAAACCGTATTAAAATGCAATTTTGTAAGCTACTCAAACTGTTTGAATATTTTCCGGAACGCCATAAAAAGTGTTTTCCTGTGAGAATAAATAAGAACAATAACGATTGTGCATGAGCACGATCTTAAAAATCTTAAAAAAAACGAAACATTAAAATATACTGTTTATTAAAATGACGAAAAAGACTTTAGCTTTAATTTGTGATTAGAGATTTGATTTATTTTTAATGTTAAAATAATTCTTTATAAAGGATGTTCCATGAAGTCAAAGTGACCGATTGGGACAATCATATTTTCTCATTGCCGCTGTACATAGGTTTGATTTTGGTGGAAGACAAATAAGGAACAAACAAATCATTTCGAGATCCAACTTTTGAGTTTCTAATCGAGAATCTTGTACGTGCAAACGCATTACCAATATTACAAAACAATCTCTAAAACGAAAGTTATTGTAATTGCTCACATCAATACCAAAATAGTGCCTCTCTTTAAAGTACGTGCGTGGTGCTTTGCTGAAACGATTTTTACGCCTTTCCTCGATGTTTCGTTTTTCGCAGGGAATTTTTGATCAGGAGAATTAGTTGAATCATTTCAAAATAAGATGAATGTTTTCTTAATCGTATTCGTTGCTGCTGCACTTGCAGGATTAGGTACGTATTATTTATTCGTCCTACATTCTTCAAAAACCTCACTAAATTTTTTATGCCGGTGTGAATTCTTAAAACGTAGGAAAAAGTTAGGTTTGTATTTTCATGTTCATCGCATAGGAGAAAAGTCGATAGGGGGGCTCAATCATATGGCGGGGCACGACCTCTATTCGCGTAACCAGTCCATGTCGAGTAGGAGAATAGTTAGACAATTATTTGTATCAGATACATGGATTTGCTAGCGGAAGAAGTCATAATCGACCAGCGGTTACGTAAACCGCCATACGACAACCAGAAGTCCAGCAACCAACTTGCTCATAATTGTGCCCACGAGATTCCAATTTACAAACCCGCTAGCAAGCCATGCTGGATTATGTTCACACAAACGTCAATGATACATGTACATGAATGTATACTGTATATCATGCGGAAGGATATTGACAATTTTTTTCAATACCCGAAATTTCGGCATGGGATTTCCAAATGAGGATGGAAATCATGCAGTGACAGGTCTGTCCGAACTAAGACAATAATAAGATTTTATCCAACAATCGTTACGTTGAAACTGATGTCGTTAACCCAAAGTAAAACGTAGTAGGTAACTTTTTTGGGTTAATCAAATTATTGTTTGTTCGACCTCGCCATCTTAAAAGATATTTCACGTATGCATGCTCTCTCGCGTCTGTGATTTAGTCTTCGCGGCCGAATTACAAAAAATAGTAATAAATTTGATCGATGATATATATATGATGATATATGATAATATGATATTCCATAAACTTATCTTTCACACGAATCTCGAATGTATTAACTTCATTCATAGGTGCCACCATTGAGTGCTTTATATGTATGCCCTGTTCCACAAAAGATGAAATGAAACTCGGACACTGCCCTGTTGGCTACAAAGGATGCCGAATGTTAGAAGCGGAAGGTAAGGTTTTATAGACTATATCTCGCCAAAAAAATATAAGTTTCGTAAACAAGTATCAACAGGATGAATGCAAGAAATATACCCAACGTACAGTCTTCCCAGGAGCTCTCTCGGCAACAATATCTTCATTCATACCTTATATTCACATCCTTCACTGGCTGATAAAAAAATGTTATTATCAAGATACTTGCATTCGAATGAAAACTTGCTCAAAGTAAGATTACATTTCCAATGAAATTCTATAATTTGATTTTGGATATTTAGGTATCGCTGGAAGACAATGCTCACGAACTGACTCGAATTTTTGCAAGACTACTACAATGGGTAACGTAGAACTGAAAGAGTGTAACTGTAACAAAGGTAAAAAAAAAAGTATATTCGTTTATTATTGTATCTATTTCATATATTTTTATTCAACACAATATTCGGATGGATTTTTTCTATAAACAACAGGGAACTTTTGGTTTCTGGTGCGTAACTTAATTATTACATTCGTGTTGTGAAATATGTCTCCAAGATTTCTTACACTTGCTCACACACCAATATATACAGTTTATATAATTCTTTTAGTAATCAATTTGAAAAGTAATATTACCCAAGGCATGGATATTCATTACATTTTTACAGATGGATGCAACGGATCCGGTATTTTGAAATCAGGAATCTTCGTCATACTCACAAGCGCTTTTGCAATGTGGATTTGTACATAGCAAAAACAATGGACCATCACTTGCGATGCTTCTTATGCCTAATAATGTAATATATTATATATTTGCTCCTAACCTGATGGAATCTACATACCACAAAGAGAGAAAAAATAAATCAAAAAACTGAATTAAGTGATATTTAATATGTCAAGGGTTTTCAGTATTATCATTCAATTTTGTAAAATGGATTGTGATCATTCTCAAGATTTCCCTAATAATTCGGGTGTTCAGCAAATGAGTCAGCAATATAGGCGAATGACGTGGTCAATACGTGTTACATTATCCTATACTGGAAAACCCAGTTTTGAGTAATATCTGCTACTCCAAAGCATTAGAACAGCGGATTTTTTTAGTATTTCAAAGTAAAATCAGAGATGAAAAAGAAGAGTTGTTCTTTATTATTTAGGCTCACGTATTTACAAACTTTAAAAGGCATAAAGTACACATTAACGATGTTAATATTTAGTTTGGAAACTGCTGCATTGAAATATAGGCATCTGTCAAGTTGGCGATATTGAACCGGATTCACTATCGGCCAAAATATAAGATAAAAAACGAATCGTCATACATATATGTCTTCCGATACATAAAAATTGGCACTTTTAAAATTGTGTTAAAAAATCATGGTATATGCTATAGTTTATGTTGTATTTTATTGTACAATGATTTTGTTGGCGATTTTTGGTGATATATAAATATGCATTATCGATGAGGATGATGTTTTACGTAGAAACAAGTGAAGTATACCTCAATTTATTCTGCCGTGTTAACAATACGCGCTGAGCGTTATTTCAACAGGGCAGAATAAATTCAAACGCACAAGTGACAGGTGAGATCCCTTGCCAGCTCGAATATGTGAATTGAACAATATTGCGAACACTTTATGCTATCGTGACCTTTAGGAGATAAATCCTTCCTTTATTCAACCATCTTTTAACATGCGTTTTTATTGGCAGTCGCTAGGGAAATGAAAGTCGTGTACTGGGCTCCATTGTTAGAAAAGTATTAGAACAATATTCTCTTCAATTTGCCGAATGATTTGAACGACAGATGTAAGGTATACCTTAATTGGCTGAATAATGAAGAAACGCTTTAGGTGCTTTATTTGCGAGTATTTTATTTAACAAGCCAGGTCCAATCAAAAATTGTCCTCGTTTCAACATACCAAGTTTGGCATTACCCTGAAGATGCGTTGGTAATTGAGAAGTTATGATGTTTATTGAGCACACAATATAAAGAGAATGCCACAAACAATATGTCTTATTCGAACAAGGCATTTCAAAGGGGTATGTGATTCTCTCACTTTATCCGCTCATTCTCGCGAGTACTGGTGACTCCCGCACAGCTCTCGTAACCAAGAGAGCGTCTCTAGCAACCGCTGGGGTCGGATTTCAGGTAGCGAGTCTGGGCGAACGCGCTGAAGTGCGGCAGAAACATCAAACCAGCCAGCAATGTTAGCATACAAACGAAAGGATATATAAGAATACCTGCTATATTGAGAAGGTTTTGAGTAAAAACAACACCCGATAAGTTATGCCAGAAGATTATGATTTTCTGTTATTTGTAAGAAAACGGAACCGATGGATAAGAGAATAGGAAAGTAGATACGTGGAGTGTTCGTAGTCCCAACGATAAACAGCGTTGTAAATGTTGTGCAATTAAAATCCTTCAATCTAAAAATGAAACTATTCATAGTCATTGATAACAGCCAGTTCTGTGTTATCTTCTGAATAATTTATAGATGCTTTCATTTTATTGAAATTAAAGGTCTGAATTGTAAGACGAAAATACGATTTTTCTTTGTGAATTACCGATCGGAATCACGAAAATTCTATTATCAACTTCGTATCACTGTTTAATACTAGACACATATGTTGCCTATTATATTTGAAACATATGTAGCAATGTCGGTGTTAGCAAATCATTGTCAGCTTGTTAACTGAAAGCGACGTGAATAATGGCCACAAGATTTATTTAACTGAACATCAGATCGAGGCCGCTGATATGTCCTTATGCTACACATTTTAAATGTAAATAGACGTCATACTACAAGGGCATACGAAAGTTCGTGTTGACTGAAGATTCCTTTGTTTTGCAGATTATTATAATTGAGAAATTAGATTTTTGTTGGTCTAGGAGAAAATAAAAGACATCGTATGTGATTACACAATGGAGATGCTTGGGTCAACTCTCACTGCCACTTACACCCGGCCGAAGTCGGTCGGAAACCACTTTCTTCCGTCTATAAGCACAATGACGGCAAGTTACAAGAGCCATGCCCCACCCCATGTGCTCAGTCATTCTTTAAGCTTGCCTTGGAGACCAAGTACATACTATAAGGTAAGGTATATAATACTTATAAGAAATCCAGTCTATCCATCAACACGAAATGAGGGCTAGCATATTTCTCTGGGTTCATATTTCTCTCGCGTACATTAAGAAAATAAGATTTTGCGGAATAAATTTCAGTTATCTTGTGAATGCAAATCCTTGAATAACGATTACACCATTTAACAGACATAGATTGCTTTATGAACAATATGTGTTTGTAAATAATTTGAACGTGAAGTCAATAGCATGGGTATGCACAAAAATAGAAAAGTCTGAATTCCCTTGCCTAATCGCCCGTTTCTTCGGGCTTAGACGAAAAACTAGTTGTTACTCATTGATATTCAATGACGTCATAAATAAAGGCCCTCCTTTAAGTCAAAAATATGACTGAGATAGTGATAAAATACCTCCTGAGGTGAGCGCTCATTTATAAATTATTTTCTTTCTACTTCCCAGGTCGCCCAAGTCAACCCCACCCTCAATCCAATGAATCGTACATTCCCGTCCACGCTTGATAAAATTCCACCGCTGTCAGCCAGTAATCGCACAGCCCTTTTCACTCGTTACACACCTGATGACTGGTTCAAGTCCAATATCACCAACTACAAAACATCAGAATCATGGCGAAACAGCGCTGAGCGATTGAGAGCAGACACAGCACGAATGGTTCAAGATAAAGAACAGCTGACCTTTCGCACTCAACAAGAAAGCAGCAAAAACTTGGGAGAACGAGTAAGCGACATAACTTTCTGGAAATCGGAGCTGCAACACGAAATAGAAAATCAAATTGCGGAAACAAATGCCTTGACAGAGGTGAAAAAGCGTCTTGAACGGGGCCTTGCTGAAACTGAAGGTCCACTTCAAGTTGCTCAGGAATGCCTCTACCACCGTGAACGCCGACAGGGTATCGACTTGGTGCACGATGACGTCGAAAGAAATCTGCTTCGGGTGAGTTTCTTTCGTATTCATATTTGAATAAAGACTGAATTGTGTCGACGTGTAGAAGTAATCATGCAACGTAACCAGTTTTCAATATGAGCGAACATTCGGGCGAAAGATGTGATTATTTTGCGAGGCGAAAATATGATAGTAGGCTTATTTATCGATATCAGTAAAAGACAGTTGGTGGAACTCAAATTAAAAAGTTATAATTATGACAAATAATTTAAGCAATCAATTTGCAGTTTGTTTACAACATCGCAGAATATCAGTGTTTCAGTGCTCAAGTGTCGCTACTCCTGTCAAGCTAACATTTTTTAAATTGAAACCCTTTACCACAGTCGGCGTCGAGTAGGCTCTTTGCGTTGTCCATAATTACTGAAGCTTCTTTCACAGAAGTTCACGAACGCAACTTGTGCCGGTAAAACTTCGTAAACTAATCGGTTTCGACCAACTCCTTTTGAGCCAAGCACGAATCGTTAACGAATAGCGATTTCTGTGAATAAATGATGTATCCCTCATATTTGGCTCAGTTGTAGTTCTTAAATATATGGTGAACTGTTCGAGAAGTCCTTTGTTGGTCGTTTACAAGTGTCTACTTACTTATAAGTGTCCCGGCTCGTTCGGTATCTTTAAGTCCTTGTCCTAAATGGAAGCGAATTGTAGATGATTGGATTGAGCCAATTTACTTCAATGTTGTTGAATGTCGTTAAGAATGAAACAAAAATGTGATAAAAAAATATCAAGATTATGTCAAGAAGTTCGGCCACCCTTGTTATTGATATGTAATTCTGCGTCTACCTCCAAGTATGTTTCTTAAACTCTTTTGTGAGCAACAATGCCCCCCGTTCTCCGCAAGCCACAATTAACAGTGTTTTTCTTCATATTTCCTCAGTGTGAAGAATATTTTTTATTGTGTGGTAAAAATAATTGTCTAGTCCATTTTGGTCTTGTCTAGACTAAACAAGATTATCACTAAGTTGGAGGCGATTTTCATTGTTGATCATCATCAAGGTCTGATCTGTATGGGTTTTAGAAAAGCTATACTATTATGGGAGAATGCATTTTTTGCTCTGGTCGCCTTATACTTTCTAATGAGTCTGTGCAAGCTTGTCATTATATATATTCGAAAAAAGGTTTGCTATATATTTTACATGCCTAGATCAATGTGTCTGGAATGATTTGATTGACTTGGTAAAAGCTGTAATTGTGTGATATTTTGCAACACAGCAGTGAAATTTTCACTAAAAGTCGAGGCTGTTAGCAAAGCCCGAATTTGTTTCGACCTTAACTAGCTTTGACTGCCGGCCGTGCATGATAGTGAGGAAGCTCAATATTAGCGTAATTTTCTACACCAAACGCTATGAATATTTAGATTTACTTTAACGCGGTTTTACATGATGGGTTTCTGAGCATATAGACTGAAGGCGTACTGAACAAATTGACAAGCACAGGCACGACGTTTGGCACAAAGACGCAGACTCATGTAATTCACGAAACGTCGTTTTCTATCGCATTACAGTCGTTCAAGTTTATAATTTGCGATGTCAAACATGCTCTGTATAAATATTAAACATCCCCAGTGCATACATCAAACTTCAGCCTCTTTCCTTGACCCGTTGCCGAGGTGATAGTCACGTGTTCTGAATGTCTTTTGTTTTTCCGGTCTGTATTCGATGATTCAACTTAAAGTGAATTAAAAATTAAATTAAAACTTGGATTAAAAAACAAAATAAAGGATTATAGCCTTCAATATTCTACTCTAATTTTATTGAGGTGAAGTTAATTATTTTAATTTTATCGGTTCGTGCATTAAGAAATGAAGAAAAGACTCAATGTACTCCTGTTTGAAGTCATTTCAATTTTTTCGTTCTCACAGAATATAGATTTCATTTCAAATCTCTTACTGGGAATTTTTTTATTCTTATTTTCAGGAAGTTGACGTTATCAAATCATGCCAAGAACGCATGCGCAGACACATCGATAGAGCAATCGTCCAGTTATCGTGAGTTTTTGAATTCTAGTGTAGGAAAATCCATCTTCATATTGAATAAAAAGCAGTGGAATTATTCACTAAACAAAACTAACAACTCACACAATTTTAATCGTCAACCTTCAATCGCTTGAACATCACGTATGAGATGTAACTTCCGCATGAACAAGACCGACATTCATTGCCCCAATTCATTGTATATTAAATGAATGTTATGTATATATAACTACAAAACACAGTTTATGATTTTGTTCAAGCGTGTGCCGTGGTGTCATAACCTACAACACAATAAGCGATTTTACAAGCATTATTGACCGCCCTCAAAGGGCGTATAGAGATATCATTGTGAAAACATGAAGAACATAATGAAAATGTAAGAAATTTCGATCGACGGAACAAAAGCATCCTTAAGAAGGATCGAATATGGATTAATAATTTATTCTTTTTGTTTAAACAACAATTGAACGACGATCCAAAACTAATTTAACACCGGTGCTTCTTTTGTTCGTGGCGGTGTTTAACTGCCTGAGATATAGCGAAATGTTAGTGATATTTGTTCGTTCTGGTTCATGTAAGGATTGATATAATGTAAACGACAAACCATACAATGACACTCTAAACAAAGAAAATTGAAAACGTACCCAGCTCGGTTTTGTCTGTTTCTATCTGAGCTTAAACAAACCCTTTGTTACAAATGTTATGATATTTTAAAATGTTGTCTGATTATTGTTAATTTGTTCACGCGTGGTTCATAAATAAATCGCACCCATCCACACGCTATTCTTCCACGTAAAACGCTTGGCCAACATACATATAAGTAGTAATTATATGGGTTAATGTTGTCAATATGCCAGTAATCTAACGATAATAAGAAAGTCATATTCGGTCGGTAAAAAAAATAAGAATGATTGAGTCTTCTCTTCCTGCTTTGAAGGTGAGTTCCAGGTTACGTAAATATCATCGCTTTGATGCCATCATAACGAAATATGCTTCATCGACCGGTGAATATAATATCTGCAAAATTAATTTGGTACCGTTGAAACATTATTACCTTTGGTGTAGGGTAATTCATCTGAGAGCGACGATATATTGGACATTATATTATATTTGTAAAAATTGACCAGACACATTCTACTATTTATTTCGCTACATAAGTTTAATAAAAATTAATAATATTCTCTACTATGACCTCGTCCCCGACTTTATCCATGGATAAGTAATATCCTATCCTGATATCTTATCGTTTGCAGGCCTGTTTCTATTTGATGTGTAGCTCATATGATATATTTCAGGTTTATATCATCTACAACTATATTGTTTGAATATCAGAGGCAAACATTATAACGCTTTGTAATCGCTATGAACATTACATCAATATAAGTTATTATTTCACAAAATTTATGAGTTTTCTACACACAACGTTGATATATAAATGAAATTTTACGTTACAAAAATTGAGAAATCCAAAACAGGCTTGTGATCTATGAATAAATATTCTTTGGAACATCTTCACAACTTGATGTTATGCGCACAATTCGTTATTAGTTGATCAGACATGATCTCAACTAATGTTCGTCAAAAGGGCGTGTTCATACAAATGTCCATTGATCACTAATGGTTCAAAAGCTTCCAGTAATCATTCCAAATATTTAGCCTCGCTCAAGCCTACTCAAGTTGTGTTTACTTGTCTTAGTTCTTTGTAAATATAATAATGCGATAAATCCGTGATGTTCAGCGTGATTTAATCCTATCTAAATATTACCCCACGCTGTGTGGCGATGTTTTTGTCATTCTCTGACATTTAGTCGACAACTGACGCAATCCTATAATAAGTCATAATGTCCTAGAATGGGCCGACTAGAAATTGGACGTCATTTATTTGATGATCGAAAATATTTTATTACATTGGGAAAAAATGGCAACTGTCAAGTTCTTTTAACAGGAACAATCGTGCTGCACAACATGAACTAGAGAGAGACCACAGCGATAAATTCTCTGCACTTCGTATTGATGGCAGATGCCATTATTACAGAAATACATCGGATGGAATCGCATTCCATCGAGGAGTGGAAAAAGTTGATGCAACGTAAGCCATTATTTATTTTATTTTTGCTCGAAAGATTTAACTAATTTTGCCTATAATGTTTTTTTGGAAAATATGACCTCCAAAAGGAAGATTTTAAAGTAAAGTAGTAAGTCCGAGATAATAAATTAATGTATTTTTTAATAAAAGTTTAAATTTTTTCTAAGATATGTACTAATTTTGACTAATTAATAAACTAAAAACCGAATTTTGTTTCTTTCAGAGTATCAGTCCCAGAAACCTGGGCCAAATTTAGCGACGACAACGTTCTGAGATCGCAAAGTGAAAGAGCTGCTTCTGCTAAATTACGTGATGATATTGAAAATCTGCTAAATGCTACAAGGCAAGTCAAATCGTTTTGTTACTATATAATCTAGATTCTAAGACATCAGCAGCGACAGCCCGTAAAATAACGCACTGAAACAGTGGCCTCTGAAATTTTGTACCAGCGTCAATTTCAGCGATGAAAATGAAATTCCAATTAAAAAAGTGATTATCGCATCGCATTTCATCCCAATAAATTGATGCAAATAGTGATATCCGTAATCTTGAAAGTTATCGACAACGAATAAACGTTTAAAGTCATTTATTGACTTCATATAATTAAATTCTACACGTACGATTACCACCGGCTTGAATAAAAACATTGTGTATAAGCTTTATAAATGACGTTCGACTTTAAGTCGGCAGAACAGCATAACCACTCTTAAATATTTTATGACCTTGATCGCAAAACGTTTTTTTTTTTCTAAAATCCAGGAATGGATCAATCTTGGATCCTCACTATTGACTACTAAATTCATGATTCATGTTTGACTGAGGATAATAATGATGTTGCGTAAATGCCCCCAACGGAATAAAAGTAAATAAAGTTGCTTTTTTTCTATTCCAGTAACGAAATGTGGACGCAATTCAACAACGTTAATGTTTCGTTCACTAACCGTGTAGCTGAAACCGCAGACGCGAAGAACAAATTGCAGATGCATCTTGCAAAGGTATGTTTGGTATACAACAAGCAAGAGTAAATTTTTAAGTCAGGGAAGGATTTAGTGTTATGCTATAAGTTAATAACATTATTGACTTCATTTAGACTCTCCAAGAAATGTTCTCTACTGAACAAACTATCGCACATTTGAGGAGAGCGATACAAGAAAAAGATTCTCCAATGCGTGTTGCACAAACAAGACTCGATGAAAGAACAAGACGACCAAATGTAGAACTTTGTCGCGATCCGTCTCAAATGAGGTATATTTAAATTCATTATATGCTGTTTTCTAGAAAAAAAAAGGGTAAAGTAATGAATAGAAATCATTCGTGTTGCACCAGAACTTTGAAAAAGTGTCCGACGATCACGAAAGAATTGTAATATCATCAATAATGTGAACGCTTTTTGCTGTGAATTTCCCATGGTACTGAACGATACTATGATTTAGGTTGAGAATTTTATGTGGGAATTACATATGAAGTAACAGATTACCCCGGGTACCGAAATGACCAGCATAATATAAAACTAATGCGCATTTCAAAAATACACTTATAAATAGTAAATACGTGTTTCAGATTAGTTAGACCTTAATTTTTTTTCATTTTTCAGACTCGTTTCTGAAGTACACACCATCGATGAAACAATTAATACCTTGAAAATCCGTCTGAGGGAAGCGGAAGATACATTACAAGGATTGGTCCACACTAAAGCATCACTAGAGCACGATCTTGCAGTGAAAGCCAACAGTTTGTTCATTGATCAAGAAAAATGCATGGGAATGAGGAAAACCTTTCCAAGTACTCCGCGTTTAGTTGGATATTCTTAAAAATATCCACTCAGACGCGGAATTTACTTGCCTTACGACATGTCGACTGCAAATGATTTTTTTGTTACGATAAGACTTTGCTTCTTTCATATATTTGCTATGATGTCTTCACATTTGTTACAATTTCTGAATAAAACGATTGCTTTAGTTTTCTAAATCAAACGCTTCTATTAAATACGGTTTTTGATTTTAAGGTTCTAAACAAAAACAATGCATTTTAAGTTTATTTTTCTGATGGCAAAACGGTGATAATTGAAAATTATTGGATAGATTAATTGTTTCTGTGTTATGTAATATTATTGTATTCATCCGTCCTGACGTGTGGCTTTGTAGTGTAGACTGTGTTATTAGATGGTATTGTAATTTCATCCTATAATTCAAAAGTCAATTCAATGTCCGAGAATTAATATTATACGACGTCTTTATATCTACAATAATATTTGGTGCATAATTTCCTGTTATGTTATAAGTGATAATAAACGGAATCAACAACTAAACAAAGTTTTACTACGTCACTATAAATATGACATCATCACGAGTTTAGATTATCTTCAACAATTGCACAATTATTCAATTAAAATAATGAAAAGTAATGTATATTGGGTTTTCACTGCCCCAGAAAACGAAATTTAAATTTTTATAATAAAAGCCATATATTGTAATTATTTAACTATATAATGAAACATGTTATTTCATTTAATAATATTTATAATGAGCCATATAAGACAGTATTATTTATGGTAAAATGCTTTGGGCTAATTAAAGCACTCGCAAATTATCTAGACTTTACTTTCTAGGTTAAGACACTCACGGATTCCATTTTTAAAATAATTGATTACTGATTTTCTTTTGCTTCTTGTTGTATAAAACAATATTATTTTACCCTCACATTCATTGGTCTCGCTTCACTCAAATTCTCTAGATTTACAGATTCTTGTCGCTGGTAGTTAACTCGACAATTAGTGTTTTTGTGTATATTTTTCTATTAATTACTTTTTTTGCATCTGAATAAGTCATTTATTCACTGACATTACTTAGACAAAACTTTATTTTTCGGAAAAGATATGATGTTCTATAAATGGTTTATTTTGTTTCATTTTTGTGTGATGTAGCATCTGAAATTGTTTGATTTAAAGTTTGTTTTTTTGGTTGCATTAGTTTTATTATCAGTCAAAAATTCTGTCAAGTGAGGACCACGATATAAGCATTTCTATTTGATCTATCTATATATGGTCCATCCTTGAAGAAGAATGAACGTTGACTGGTTACTTTATTTTAGTCACAGATGACGCCGTAAGAGATTATATTAGTAGTTCGCTGTGTGCCATATCCCTGGAATAATAACTATTATGCCCCCGCCATACATAAATCAATCAATTTGTGTTGTTTATAATCACACAACCTATTCGGTCAGATGCGCCCCGTATTTTTTCATTTACTAATTTCGCTCAATTACCTCAAAATTGAGGTTGAAAAAACAAATTATTCAACACTAATTCGAAAAACCCTGAATATCTACGAAGATTTTCCCCAAATTTAAGTTTTGTTCACATAGGCCAACTCCTATGTTGCATTTAAGTTGTTATTTACTGAACGTTCTTGCTTCTTATTTTTTTGTAGATGTGCTCAATGTAAATATTGCTTTATTAACCCATGCATAGAAATTCAATAATCGATCAAGGATGGCCAAGCACAATTGTACAAATCTCACAAAATTGAAATGAATTTAGACAATTATATCAAATTGAAGCTTGGCCGTATTTGATTTGTCATGGAATTTTTAGGAAATTTTTTGAATATATTTTTCTTGTTTCTTTAGAAACTACATACGCATCACATTGCACTTATTTTTGTAGTTTCGGTCAAAAATTGAACATTGTTGACACAGTAACGGCGTTTCCAGTCAATACTTGTCCCAATTGATCAAATTATGATCGTTTTGTTTTATTTCCAGTGTTAAATTTATCTCGTTTTGCGAGAAACTTGCCATGGTAACAATGTGTGAAACAAATGCAAGTACACCAAGTAATACGTGTTTCAAGTTTAATTAAAGATAAATTTTCTGCTGTGTTGTTTTTATTGTTTATTGTGAATATTAGTATGCCATATTTAGAAAATAATATTTCTGGGATAAGAAATCCCATATGGTATATCCTCAGTCCATTGCACGATGTAGAACTGCCCGAAGTTTGACAAAATGAAACATTTTGTCTGCATTTTTCTGATTGTGTTATTTTAGGAAAAACCCCACATATTTGCTTGCTCATGAAGCACGTCCAGTAATGGAGATCCAAGCAAAAAAATGAAAAGAACGAACTGTAAATTAAATAGCTTATGAAGTCGTTTGTTTCATTTACACTCGTAAGTACCATATACTTTTTATATAGACTGATATTTTCACCGTTTTGCTATAATTTTATGTAATAAAAAAGGATTTTTATAAGCAAAACGTCGGGTCCTAAGTTTTTTTGAAGTATTGTATAGAGTAGGTATGTCAGGAAACTTTACTCTACAGAAACCATACCCAGCTTCGTGGACAGAAAGCGCCAAATCAAAATGCTTGTGGTAAAAGCTGAAATAAAACTTGCCTGATAATCAAAGCAATCACGGATAACCTACTGAAGTCCCAAACTTTATTGCAATCCCTGCTACATTTTGGCACGAGATGCCCCTGCTTTTCCCGCACTCCAGACAACATTGCCTTCCTTAGATAAATTTAAATTTACAATGAGTGTTTTCGTTAGGCCTACTGCTCAATGCTCATGTAAAATCGTGTTTTGAAAATGAGAGCATGATAACAGTGCCCATTCAAAAAAGCATGTGGTACTGATACAATGGATATTTTGAGGATATTTTTTGTTGAAAATTGAATAAAAATTCAGTTATCACATTGGCTCGAAATTTTCTCAATTTCCATATTTTTTGCTTGTGTTTTGTCCAGTTTCAGAGATTAGTAAGTTATGGTAGCTCGATTCTTAAAACTATAACACGTAGACATGAAAGTAAGAGCTGTTAGCTGCAGTGTTCTACCCAAGTATATACCGATCATGAGAAGGGTATACAACTTGGAAAAGGTGTACGAAGATTGCACAGTCTAAATTAGGCTTCTAAACTGTAATATAATAAACATCTTTTCAATTGGAGACAACAATGCAAATTCTGCACATGGTTGCTTTGCTGTTTTACATTAATTAAAAGGAAAACGCCTGACTGCCTCCGCCACGCAGATGCGCCGATAATCTTGTAGCAAACTCGCTGCTCAATTTAGGAATTGAGAGGTTTGCCTGCAAGGACGTGCGATCGGCAGGATGTTTACGTCAGCGTCATTTTGCGATGCTTTAGGAATTTGAGCATACCGATACAGTAAAATTTATATTGGGAGACATGAATATAACAACGAGTAATTCCGTCTCATATCGAGATCAAATCGAATAACTTCCGATGCTTCATGATTTCGAATGGAAATTTGTAATCGGTATTTCCTGACTAAAATGTGACAATTTTAACTACTAACATATTGGTTTACTGACTATTCTAAGTTTCATAGTGTAATAAATTAGAAGCTGAGTACCTTGTGTGATTTAAGGATTTATTTAACTTAAAACTAAAGAATATTTAGAATGTATTGAGTAAAAACACAGAACAAGTAAATGTTACTAATTAAACAAGTACCCCCCCTCCTCCCCTATAGGGGGCGACTTCTACTATACTACATGGGTCGGCATTAATAAGATGAACAAAAGAGCAATGCTTAAATATATGGACATGAAGATCAAAGCGAAGTAGTATCAAATCTTCCACAGTATCACTGAATGCGAATAATTGTGAATTGTTCTTTTTCTGTTTCAATATAGCAGTAATGTTAAAGTAAAAGCTTGGAAAACGGTCTAAGTGAGATTTCCCCCAGTGATTTCACTACACCGACTATACGCCATCTTACTGTCGGTAAACATCACGGCACGGAGTTTCAACCTTGATATATTTCATATTATAATTTGAATTTTGTCATCATTGATGAGGTTTCAAGAGATTTACAATTAATACGAAAATATATTTAGGAATGACATAATGATGAGATTATGTTAATGTATATACAATGATGCGTGTACAATACAAGAAATGTTATGAGTATAATTTACATTGACAATAATACGAAATGTCACTAATATTGACTTATAAGTCTTTCAAATATCGACATTGCTTTCTTGCATTTATCTTCTGTTTCAGCAATGAATAAAACGTGGTCGTTCGCGCCATGCATCTCTGCCACGTAGACATCTCCACACGAGCTTCTAGTCAGACGAATCGCATCGACAAGTCGCTGACTTCCAATCATGCTCTTGTGGTGCTTCTTTAAATCAAAAGTTTCTTGAGGTGTGTTATCCTGAGCGTGGGTATAAAGCTTTTGAAATTCATCAATTGCAGACTCTGGGTTAAACTTACGGTCAGATGATAGACGATGTAGTCGAATGTTCAAACAATCACCAATTGTTTGAGTCTCCAATCGCACACCGTTCGAAGCCCTGTATAATAATATGGATAGAAAAAAATGAAAAACAATATATCATTCATATTTAATATTACCAAGTTAGAGCTCAATAAATACAACTAGGCTGTTTACAACTCAATGGCGATTATATTTGGATGAAGCAAAAAGCACATATAGAATACGAAGAGTTTTAAGAAAAATCGATCGATTGGCATGCATCGATATTTATATTTGATCTATGTTTGTTTTACCCAGTCACAATGGGACAGGCATACCTCACAGAGGTCTCACATTGTCATAAAAATATCAAATTACGCTTAATAAACTCAAATCTATGGAAAATACGAAAACTCATATCTATGAAAAACCTTTACCATCAACGATATTCTCACCAAATTCTCTCGAGTGTACTGCGTCGAGTAAGTTCAAGATATCCAAAAATATCTTTGTCGACAGAAATCATATTTTTATCTTTCATATCAGTGGCTCCACCTGAATTACCTAAATAAAATATGAAAAGATTAAGTACAAATCCACAGAATGACATAGATTTAGAAAAAGTTCCATCGTAGAAATATACGACTATGTGACACGATATAGGAGAAACAAGCGCCTCTGTGTGGTGCAGAATTTCAGTTTGCACTCACCGGGGCTCAATTTTATTAAATTATTTATAAATAGATAAAAAGTCTAATAAAATCGCATATATCAACAATTTACACTAATAGCTACCTTGATTAGGGTTATTCATCATTTTTTCTCGATCCAAAAAGTGTTTGAACATGTTCAACGCCATCCTGCATTTTTCTTGGTTCGGGGCAGTGAATATGATGTTGCATGGTGAATCATGCACTCGATCCATGTGTACTTGGGGAAACTCGGGACGAAGACTAGCAAAAATTCCTTCCAGCGCATCCTTAGGTAAATTCGGATCGATTCTGGTTGTATCTTGAGCGACAGAATTTGAAACTTTATCATGAAGAGCATTCAAAGATTTTTCCGCTTTTTTGGGGTTTCCATCTGAAGTTGTAGGAGTGAGAACAATTTTGGACGCGTCGCCCACCACAATTTCATTCATGTCAACGTCGAATTTTTTTCTAAAATTATATAAATATATATATTTTGTGTTGGCGTATAAGATTTATTTATTACGCCAAGAACACTAATTTATCCGAACATATATATAAATATCTAAATTAAGGAGCATCTATGTCGTTAAATTGTGGCCTTGGCAAACATTATTAATTTTAACTTTTCAGTTATTGATCATAGCTTACCTACCTGGTTACTACTTTTGTTTAAAATCCATTTATTTTAAAGTAACCAACGTTTTTGATGACCATAAGAATTGTACTGGACAACCAACCAAATAGTATCAAGGAAATAGATAAGGTCTCTCACTTGATATCATTCAAATCCAAAGAATGAACAAGTTTCATATATGCGAAAATATCCTTATCTATCACAGTTGATACAACTTCCTGGGTTTTGACTGGTTGTTGTTGTTGTGGTTGTGGGGTAGGCATCACTACTGGCCGTAACGGAATACTGGGGACCTTGTGAAACACATTTCTTGCTAAATAACCCCTTTCTGGAACCTTTCTATGTCCCATATAAAACTTATTAGTAGGTTCATCTGAATTACCTAAATAAAATATGAAATATTCAGTACAAATTCACGGCATGACATGGATTTAGAAAAAAAAATACAATCGTAGAAATAGACGTGTATGTAACACAATAGAAAGAGTACAGCAAAGTATCGTTCAGATATACTATAGGGAAATGAGTGCCTCTGTGTGGTGCAAATTTCAGTTTGCAATATTAATTACTTATATATAATTAGAAAAGAAGCCAATAAAATAGCCTATATGAACAATTTACATTAATAAGCTATCTTGATTCATGCTATTCAGGATCTTTTCTCTATGCAAAAAAGTGTTTGACCATTTCTACGCCAACGCGCATTTTTCTTGGTTCGGAGCAGTGAATATAATGGGGCATGGTAAATCATAATTGAGAATTTCAGCCGCTAAAGCAGTAATGAAATTTGGCTTTTGTCACTATTTTCACTCACATGCACTTGTGGAACTCTTCTCATGTTCAAATGAGTCCGAATCAGATGCTACAATGTTCATGCTGTCCATTACAGACATGCTTATGATATGATAACACTCAAAACATGTCTTGACGATTTTCTGAATGAATATACGTTAAAGAGGTTTTTATGGAATAAGTGTGAATACGATTAGTATGATCAATCGGAATATAATCATCAGAATAGCATGTGACACACTTTTGTTATGATAAATAAATATTTAATATGATAGAATAATGCTGAAACCCTTTTTTCGATCAAGAATCTCCTATAATTGAGAGGAACTTTCTTTAGATCCACATAATGATCCAATTTCTTCAGTACTTTTTTGCGATCAGATGCATTGTGTTCTATCCATGTTATTAATGCCTTCAGCTTCAATTTTTCTGACGCCTTCGGTAAGGAAAATGTAAGTTATAACAAATGCATGCATTTGACAAAACATGTGTTTCAAGATTTTGTTTAAAACCATTTTTTACCAGTTTGCCTCATATTACTTAGATTTTAGAATATTGATATGTTAGAACGAAATAAGAAAACTCGCGCTTTGGTTGGCCGTGGACATTGGTGTTCCGAGTTTCATCTCAAATAGGCTCGAGTATAAAACGCTATGAGGTTGTCTCGAAATAAATTTATACTTGTTTCCACAAACAACTAACTTCATTATGGAGAAAAATTATTTTTATGATTTATTTCAGCAATTTTATGAGCATTACCATAGAACAAGTAGCAAAAATAAAAGTGTTTTTAAAACAAAACGCTATTGTCCAAAATTAATAAATTTGAAGCCAAGTCCTAGCTATATTTTTTTTTCTGTACTTGAACAAGCTTCCATGATTATTGCAATGTCTTCTTATTTACATAATTATACTGATTCGTTAGAATAATGAAACATGTTCAATACCTTATTATCCTGGCATTTAATCATACCAGATATATCCTTTTCTTCGATGAATTTGAATTCTTCCTTATTTGAAATTTTCTCAAAATTCCTCATTGCAAATATTTTACATTTTTCCTCCAATATTTTGCAACCATAAAGATTCGCGATTCTCATCGTAACGAAATATGAGTTTTCATCAAGATTCTCTTCGAGAGAATTTGTAATTCCATCGACAACTTCTAAAAGTTATGAATAAAAACAAGATATTGTCAATGTCTTATTGACCAATTTTCTTATATATTTTTTGCAATATCGTCGTTTTATTCTATTTGATTCAAGAGTCTTTCTGCGCGCTAACACAAATGTATTTATGTAGCATTTCATCTGACCTCGGTTACAGAAATACATTCATGTTAGTGTGCAGCAAGACTCTTGAATTAAATAAAATAGTCATCCTCACTCTTGCTACAACATCCTTGCGTTATACGAATACACTTGCACAAAGGCATAGAGGAAAGGTAGTTACGGTAGTTCCACGTAACTCCAACTGATATTTGCTGTTTTCTGCTGTTTAATACGTTTCTCCTAACTCTGTGGTGTTAGAATCATAATATGGAAATATATATAAAATTCTCCGAGACCAGAAGAAAGATAAAAAAGAGACACGTACTTCTTAGCTGTATGAATTGAGCCACATTCATCATGGATTCGGCGTTCCCAATTGTTGTAGATAATTCACCGGTGTAGATATATTCTATACATTGTTTCAGGCATACTGGATCCACTCCTTTAATCTCGACTCTGCCAGATTGAGTTTCAACATTCTTCCAAATAAAATGCAAATGAAATTAAACCATCAAATTATCATTCTGTATTGTCGGGCTATCAACATTCTCTAATGCAGATAGTTCGAAAATATTTTTATAATATATATATATATTTTTAATGGATAGCAAATACATTACTTTAAGTCCACATGTTAATCGCCAGTTTATGTAATTTGAATACAATGCAATGTTAAGAGATAACTTTGATGCTCACATCATGAGAAAGCATAGCTTTGAAGTAATCAGATCCAGCCGACATGACATTCTTGTGCACCAGGATTTCTTCTGTACCAGCTATAATGGTGAAATTGCAATGCAACTTCGATTCATTTCTGTATCTTATATTGAAAAAATAAATCAAAAATCAAGAAACATATTTGGTAAACTAAAGAATGATGATATGCTATGGAACAAAATAAAATACATGGTCAAGTGGCAAAAAATAACTTGCAAAAATACTTTAACCTCCGGAAAAATTGAAGTCGAGAATCTCAAGAGTGCATATCAGATTAGCATTGCCAACACCGCAATAATATTAGGTCATAAATCCTAAGATAAGAATAAACAAAAAAGGGAAAATAAGATACGAAGAAAGGATAGTAAAAACACGTGAAATGAACGACAAGTTCGAGAAATAGTTTGAATGAATTTCCCGGCGTTCATATACACTGCAACAATTTTTGATAGTTGTTTCCTAATTAAAAAAAATGTATTTTAGTTATAAAACAAACCTGTTCAATTCCTCCAACATTTCTTTTGCATGATTATCATCATTTACACCGATTTTTACAGACATGACACATAGATTTTAGGTTTGAAACTGCAAATACACAGATTTAACTAAATGGAAAAAAAAATTATAGATAGATTTTATATTGATTTTTGATTTTGTACGGTGCCATTTTTTACGGATGCAAAAGTATTTCATTGTCTGTCATCTTGAACAGCACTAACAAATAAATGTGACGCTGCTCAAGACATATAGTAACAATACCGGCAAAATGTAAGTTAAAGAAAATGGCAAGAACAGAACAAATAAACCAGACCTCACCAAATACATAAAATACAAGAAGTATGCACTGAATTTTCAACTTTGATCAATAAATCAAGAGATAAGCTAAAGCTTAAGTATTAGGCTTGATTATTGACCTGAAACAAACAACTCAAGTCGTTTACTCTCATTTAGTGACAAGTGTGTTGATATTTGCCAATGCAAGCAGACAATAAAATCAGCCATTAATGGTCTCTACTCACAATGTATATTCATTTGCCTATCAACTACTATGAATTGATATTTACCGATTCCTCCTCAGAACATCTTAACATTGGAAAACCTTGGCAGGTAGCCTTATAAGTTATGAATTGTAATAATATATAGTTGAACATATATATTTGAGGCTGCTAAGATCAGGGTCTCTGGTAGCAACCTCTACAGACAGCCAGAATACTGATATCCAGTCATTATACCCTTATTAATATTATTATAATTGGAAACCATATTCTACTGTCAATTGTCTTCTTTTATATTGTGCATGTTGCTTCACATATTGACTCAACATTACAATTTCATATACCGGTATCTATCTTTTTTTTTTTTCTATGTTTTATATAAAGAGTCATCGCGTCAATTTATCTCAAGTGTCATCACACTATATTTAATCCTACCTCTAATTTATGAATACTCCTGTCCATGTCCATATCGATTTTACATTTTTCAGCGTGTTAAACTGACTCCATCATAGATCTAAGTACCGGTACCGTACCGGTCCAATTTTCGTCCTTCCATGAAGATTTAGTTCATTACTAATATCGCACTTTGTTACGATACTACTTTTTAACTGGCAGGACTTCCGCTGGTATTCAGTACACTAAAACCCCGTGCCATATTATTTCGAAAGTACAATGTTCTATAAATCTTTATCCAACCGTAATGCCATAGTCGCCTCACAATGGTACGGTACCATTGTGACTTTGCCTCAAGACGCTATTGCCATAGCTACCCAGAATATTAGTGCACGGAGTCGTCTTTTTTGTAGTTGTTAAAACGCGCGAATCCCGGGAACACCAGGTTTTGCTTCAAATTTTGTTCGAATCTTTGTTATTATTATTATCTGTTAGACTATTTTATGGGTGCCACTGCTCGATAACCTATATTGGTTTTTCGCGGCTTCCCTCGCCCCGAGACGCATTTATCATATTTATAATAATTTTTTTGTATATCCATATGTGTTTTCAGTATGGTGAAAAAATAAATTACTGATTACAGGGAGTCCTCGGGTTACGACGGTCGCGACTTACGATGTTTCGAGGTTACAAACGCGCACTTCATAACGCTGTTTCGAGGTTACGAACGCACTTTACGAACATATACAGATATAAAAAATAATACTGTACTGTAATATCTGAGCCTATAAACTGGATCAATGTGATCAAGAAAATCAGTGATCTGGGCCCATTGGTTTTCGTTATTTACATCGTAAATGACGTGATCAATTGCGAACTATTACGATTATGAACGAATAATCACTAAGCTTCAGTCACATGGTACAGTACTGTAGCTACACAGTTCCAGTGATACAGTACTGTACACAGTTTCAGTGATACTGTACGTCATTTTGGTTGTTTAAGCCGGTTTTTTCGTAACTTGTTTGATCGTTTTTTTTTTACTTTTGCCCTTTGTTATGGGCAACCCTAATATGCAGGAAACGGGAACTACGGGAAATGCACTAAAATGCGGGAACGACGGGAAATTGCAAAAACTAAATTGCGGGAACTACGGGAAATTTCACTAAAAAGCGGGAAATTCCACAAAAAGCGGGAATGACGGGAAATCGCTTTAAGGTACGGGAAATATTCATTTTGGGGTACGTTTAGGGGAAATTGTTCTAGAAAGCGAAAGCAATGGTTAATATACGCTTGGGGGTGTATGTACGTGAAAACTTATCTAAAATGCGGGAACGACGGCAAATCGCGTTAAAGTACGGGAAATATTCATTTCAGAGTATGTTTAGAAGAAATTGCACTAGAAAATGGAAGCAACGGGAAATATAGGGCAACCCTAAAATGCGGGAAACGAGAACCACGGGAAATGCACTAAAATGCGGGAACTGTGGGATCGACGGGAAATTGCAAAATCTAAAATGCGGGAACTACGAGAAATTTCACTAAAAAACGGGAAATTCCACAAAAAGCGGGAATGACGGGAAATCGCTTTAAGGTACGGGAAATATTCATTTTGGGGTATGTTTAGAGGAAATTGTTCTAGAAAGCGAAAGCAAGGGTTAATATACGCTTGGGGGTGTATGTACGTGAAAATTTATCTAAAATGCGGGAACGACGGCAAATCGCGTTAAAGTACGGGAAATACTCATTTCCGAGTATGTTTAGAAGAAATTGCACTAGAAAATGGAAGAAACGGGAAATATACGCTTGGGTTGTGTGGATAAGGAAATTTCACTAAAAAGCGAAAAGTTTCACAAAGAGTGAGAGTGACGGGAAATCGCTTTAAGATTCGGATAATATGTATGTTAGTACAATTACCCTGTACATGCACACTCAAGTATAAACGGCACTCCGGAAGTATGTGCAACAAGATGACGCACAGCCTGAACTCTAACCTGGTATACATACTATGTTCAGGTTGTGCGTCATCTTGTTGCACATACTTCGGGAGCGCCGTATAAACTTGCCGTTGATTTTGCTATTCAATGCATATTTACCCCACACATACTCTAAAATATATATTTCCCATACCCTAAAGCAAATTCCCGTCATTCCCGTCTTTTGTGAAATTTCCCGCAGTTCCCGAAATTTCAAATTGACAAATTCCCGCAGTTACCGCTTTTTAGTGCATTTCCCGTCGTTCCCGCATTTTAGGGGAATGACGGGAAAAGTTACTAACAAGCGGGAAAATGTTACAAAAAGCGGGAATGACGGAAAATCGCTCGAAAATTATTATAGTACGCTTAAGAATAAACGGCACTTCGGAAGTATTTGCAACAAAATGGCGCACAAACTGAGCTTTAACCTGGTACACATACTTGGTTCAGGTTGTGCGCCATCTTGATGAACATCTTATAAAATCAATTCATATGTAGTCTGCTAAGACAAGGCAGGCTGCGCTTTCGAAATTGTCCAAGCTATGTAGCGCGCGTTTCATCTATCACGATTAATAAGTATAAGTTTATTTCGACTCCATAAATAAATAAAAACCGATTATGATATCAGGAAAGCAAACAAAATCTTAGATAAGGTTGAAAACGTACAGAATATAAGATGGAGGGTTTTGCCAAGAAGAAGTGGTACGTGTTCACTCACCTAAAATATTTCATACACGCTCACACACACAATCATATAGAAGTTATAAAGTAAGAAGAACTTGATAAATTACATACTGGTAGTTAAAAAATATATATGAATAAATGAAAAATCACTGGCCACACCGTTTTTTATGTGTCAGAATAAAAAATAGCGACACTTTGTGACGTGTCCATATATTTGAGCACAGCTCTCTTGTTATATTTAATTTAAGGTAGGGCGATAGGGTATAGGAATATATTGGTTACCAAGGTTACAAAGGTAAGGTTATTTAAAATTTATCGTGGATGAGACACCAGCGAATTTTGTTGATGTAGACACCATTTATATTCAAAAAAGCTAGCCAATGAATTGATCATCACGAAACGACCTGTAAAACGGAAAATAAATCTGCGAGTAGAATATTCAAAAGTTCCATATTGGGAAACAACACTACCCTACCTACACTTTTATTGATAAGAAATTATTATTTTGAGTAGATATTGATCATTAGTTATTTATCTTTAAAACGTTAGTTGAAAGGCATGAGTTGAATTCTGGTTGGGATACAGGGTAAATTTCTCGCAAACCAGGCATAAACTCTCAAATCACACTAACCATTTGCATGTTTCGTGAACTTTAACCACTTCTAATAGTCATATTTTACTGTGAACTTATCAGCGTAAACTTGGAGGGAGCTGACTCCGATGACTGCATGATCGTATCCCTCCTTCCAGTCTATACCGAAAAAAGTGTATTCTTTCTTTAGCCATTATTTATTGGTATGAATATTTTTTCTGGTGGACGAAATAAAATCTCTCCCTCTCTGTTGGCCTTCACGTTCATTTCACAGCAGAACCTTAACCTAGAATAAAATTTTGTATACGCACAAGACAAATCATAGAATACCACAGCAAATTAAAACCAAGGGGATAATCCAATATATCTCTACTGGTCGCCTAATTACAATAGGAGGTACAGGACCTAAACTATACCGTCTACAACCCTCATAAGGTATTACACCGCCCAAATAGAAACAAAGACCATGCATGTGTGATGTTAAAAGTTGGTTCATCGGTTGATTCGTTTGAATAAGGGAATATATAGCAAGCCGGGAAACGTCCGGTTTTCAGTAAATCGTTCAAGAATATAGCACATTGACGTTGAAAAAGTCGTAAGAATTTATGTCTCACTGCAAATGTCGCCAAATTGCATTTCAAAAAATGTTGAAAGTTTTGGGAAGGGCCCATGGAATTTGGTTTCATCACATATAGTTGCATGACTGCATCATTGAATCAAGTGTATTTCACTATCTGTTGTTTGGAACAATTCAATTCGATCGTACAACTTTACAATATATGAAAATTTTGCATTACAATCCATTGCGTTCCTATTTGATCCCTGGGTATTCGGTTAATTCCACTAAAGTACCTTTAAAGAGAATCAGAAGGAAGATTCAGATTATAGGGAGCATTAAACCTATACTTGCATAAGACAATATTGGGCAACACCCTTCACACAAATAAAACAGCACTGTAATGATGCTAAGTTAACAGGAAATATCAATTCACT